TACAATAATCAATTTAAACCTCAGAGTAAATGAACAGACTTACCATAGGTCCAGGATTATCAGCATATGAGCGATCAAAAGCCTTGATGTGCTTAAATTCAAACATGTTTCTCTGTACAAAGGTTTTTCGAATCTTCTGGTTGGTCCACGTTATGAAAAGCTTGTAGTAGTGATTAGCTTTCTCCGTCAGGCCGGTGGAGAAGTAGATTGGGGCCTTCAGGTTCATTCTCTCCCTGTGTTGCGAGAAGAGGTAATTAGAGGGCCTGTCCAGGGAGCCAGTGATAAAGTTAATACACCACTATTACTCTATCAAGCTCAATAAAATGAACACAGCAATTCTAGCGAGGTGCCCAGACAAATCTGTGACCTTTTTGTATTGCAATCATGTACAATTACTTCTCACTGACAGCACTTTTTTTTTAAATTTAATTGGAATGCCAACAATTATAAGCCAGAAAAATTGACTTCATCTGATATCAATCAGTCAGGGAGCAGACTGTGATTATCCCCACACATTACTGTCTTTGCTGTCTTAGTTCTAGAGACTTCCTTGCATCAAAAAAAAGCCTATGATGGATGCATTGATGGAAAGCTTATGTGTTCTTGCTTCTGAGGTGCCTTTTAAGAGTGAACTTTACCAAAATGTTTCCAAAAGGATGCAGAGCTCTTGTGCTCGTCCAAGGGCAAAAACTGGAATTAGAACCTGGAAGGTGTACAAGAAAACAAAATAATAGATTAGAAAATATCTAAACCAAAACTTCCACCTCTAAACGCAATATTTAACTACCGATCATTTTTACCTTTCCCCCTCTTTCTATGCTTTCATGCACTTTCTTCAAGAAGTCCCTCTCTCTGCATCTCTTTGAGTCACGGATGGTGGTGGCGTACGTAGACTCTGAGATGAGGATGTCTGGACGACACTTATCGATCCATGCAGCTCTACAAATACACATCACACAGATGAAGAGATCGTGCAGTCTGATCAGCATCAGTGAAACTATTGGACACACATATTTATTCAAGGACCTTTTTCATTACTTTTGTTTGCTGAAGTGTTGAAGAAAACTGAAGACTTCAATACTAATGGACTAGGAAGCATCTAGTAAGGAAAAAATAGTGCAGACCAAAAGTTTTCTCTGACAACGTTTGTGCATTCTGTGAAGCAGCTTCATGAGGTCATCATTTTGGAGCTTTTCCAGAGGCATTTCTCGGCTGCTTTTCCTTAACCCTCCAGTTTAACTCATCTCAAACCCTCTTAGCTGCGTTTAGGTGGATGATTGTGGATCATCTGATGCAGCACTGCATCACTCTGTTTTTTGTTTAAAAAAAAAAAAAAAAGCCCTGCCAGAGCCTCGAGGTGAGTTTTGGCTCAATGTCCTGCTGAAAAACCAATGATGCTTTTACTAAGCTCAAAGCAGATGAAGTTGAATTTTATTCATTTTTTCAGTATTTATCTCCTCTCTGTAAACACAGACTGTTATTCAACCAAATAGTCCTGTAGTTTTTCTCATGCAGCTGTTGGTCACAACTGTATCATTTATGGCTTCTGGGTTGAGCCAAGAATCACTGAATTTTTTTGTTTTATAAGACCTGGTTAAGGCAAATATTTGTTTCATTTTTGCCAATTTTTTAAATGAGACATGTAGAATACAGTGATTTCTGTTTGATAGTATGACTTTAAGCTGGTTTATTTTCTCCAACAAAAGAAAAAGTCACACTTGGTGAGTTCAAGGACTGTCGGGAAGGTAAAAATCTGATGACTCTTTGTGTTTTTATGGTTCTGGCTCTAAAAAATGGTGTAATACTTGTTAGTTTAAAAATATAACAAGCCTTTGAAACCTCCCAATGGGTTTTGGGGTTCAGAGGTTTAATAATTTTGATGTCTTCAGTTTTGTTTTACACTTTTCAAAATGGTAAAAAAATAAATAAAGAAAACTTTTGACTGTTACTGTAGATATAAAATCCAGTAGACTACTGTAAAACACACTTAAGGCTACTTACCCTAAATGCCTGTCTGGTGTCATGTTATAGTCTCCCTAAAATGAAAAATATTTTATTTTGAGATTGCAGTTGTTAAATTCGGCAACTGCGACACAGTACAGACTTGTTTACACTCACAGTATAGACCACAGACTCCGATCCCACTTTGATGTGCACCATGGCAGCTCCCAGTACATGGCCTGCATAGTAGGCCTTGATCTCCAGCTCATCATCAACCTGCCAGCAGCACAACAGAAACAGCTTGATTTGGCTGCAAATGAGACGAGCAGCTGGTGCAGAAAATATGAGATTAGATTCAATGTTTTCTCTGAGCGTGTCAGAAGTGATGACAGCGGTGCACCTGGACAGTTTGGTGGAGGTTCAAAGGAACCACTTTCTTCATGCAGTCCTTGATCATCTGCGAGGTGAAGAAGTTGGTTTCTCCCTTTTTGTCAACTGTGATTTTCCGGAAATCTTCCAGCAGAATGGGACAGATGGCCTTGGTGGGATGGGTCATGTAGATGGGTCCATCATAGCCCACCATCTCACTCATGTAGGGCAGAGCACCACAGTGGTCCAAATGGAAATGGCTGAGAACAGAACAGGTGTCGTCATGTAAAAATACAGAATGTTGGTATTGTTAAGATAGAAAGGGTGCAATGTACAGATGACATTCAGACAGCGAACCTGATGATGACACAGTCCAAAAAGTCTGTCAGACGTCCGTTCTGGGTGATGTAAGAAAAGTCTGGGAAACGTCTCTAGAATGACAACACAGACTATTATTTAACCAAGATCAAACTGTGGAGCATCTTCTTCAAAGGACACAACAATAAGACCCACACTATGAAATGAAGTTTTTATAAACAGGCTTAAAGTGCATTGCATTTAAAAGAAAACTCCCTTTCATAATCAGACTCACTAGAGACAACGTCTAAGTGTGGAGAAAAGAAATTTGACTAAAATTTGATGCTGATTTCCAAATATGAACATTTACACCTTTGTTTAATCTGCAAACTATTCTCAAGTAAGTCTATAAACACGACATCCAATCATCCAAAACCTAAAGTTATTTAATTAACAATAGCAAAAAGCAGCAAATACTTAATATTTAACTGCAGTGACAGAATATTTAGATATTTATTTGTGTTTGCTTTAAAACTGGTTACATAACTATCAAAACAGTTTCTGAAATTTTCTGTGGATTGAACAATTGATTAATCACCTAACTTTGCAATAGCTTCAGGTCTTCATACACTCTTTTTAGTATTTACCTGTAATATGTGTCAGTTAATCGTGTGAAGCATGATTAAAGTATCTACTTTATTTAAAAGCCTTATGTTTTGATTTGTTTAGAGATGAATTTGAACTGAACCAAACCAATGTTGAACCCAAGTCATACTGTTATCCTCCACAGCTGCTGTTTTATCTGTGATAAATACTCTTCTTGACTCACATCATCGTTGTATCCCATGTGCATCCCACAGTCCAGCATGATGTTTTTGCCTCCGATAGAGACCAAGATGCAGCTACGGCCGACATCCTGTCCAGCACCTTGGACAGGGAACACACAAGCTTTCAAACACACTGATTCAGTAGCTCCAGCTAACTAACAGGAGCTATACAGCGAAACTCAGAAACTGTTTTACACCAGAGCGACAAAAAATACACTTTACTGCCTTTCAAAAAGAGGCAGTCGGACACTTAAACTAGCGTTAAAGTTGTCTGCTAAATGTAATGTTGACGGAACTAGCTTAGCGGATGCTAACTAGCAGCTCTACTCACCCAGCGGTGTTACATTAATTTCAGGCATGTTTTCTCATCGGAGCAGCCTACTTTTGGAGACGGATAAATAACAGCAAGGCAACCAATACGGCCCGGCTGCCTCCGATAAATAACCACTGAACTGGAAAGAAAAGTTTGTTGTCTGTAACTTGTACACATGCGGGTGTTTTCATGCACCGACTTTTGTTAGCGGTCAAGCTAACCGCTAAACGCATAACTTCCAACTCGTATTTTCAAACTAAAGCTCCTTTGGTAGGACGACCTCTTCAGAGATCATAAATGAAATGTAACTCAGTAAATATACTTTAGTATTGTACCGAGATACAATTGTGTGGCTATTGCACTTTACCTGAGTATTTCCAATTACTTTACTACTCCACTACATTTTGAGGGCTTTTCATTTCTGCACATCTTTGTCAACCTTTCTATATCAATTATTTAAATATTAACACAAATATTGCATCTGCAACATTAAATCATACATTATATATTATTACAGATAACAGAATAATAGAAAGCGAGCCTTACTTTTACCATGTGCAGTATTAGAAATGTGAATATTTTTTTACCACTGCTTCAAAATGCAGTTGAATTGCTGGAAAAATGGAGCTGTGAATTATTTTTTATTATTTTTATTGTTATTTTTTTCAAACTATTCTGATGATTGTTTTCCCAATTAATGAATTAATTTATCATTCCACCAACTGTCATAACATTGCGAAAAACTTTAATTGCAATTTTCCACAGCACAAAACGATGTCTTCAAGCAATCCAGTATTTGAAATTTTTGCTTAAAAAAGAATTAGTGTGTTACTTATTTGTTTCTTTCCTTAACCTTTTGCATTGTTTAAATTCACAAGGTTTTTTTGTTGTTGGTTTTGGATAAGCGTTTGGAGCAGAAAAAAAAACCACATTCTATATGCACACATCTTTGGCCAATAAGACTAATTCAATCCTGAATGAAGCAGCATCACTGTATCCTGAGTACAAATAAACATGATTAAAAGAATTAAAGAAATTATAGTCGAATCAAGCACATTTTCTCCAGAATTAGTACAGTTTTCTAAATGTTTTAGAACCGGTTAAACAAGTTGAACACAGCTTTAATTCTATGTTCCGCAAGTGCTGAATTTCTAGCACTTTTATTTTGAAAGTAAAATCTCCAGCGTCATGTTTTTGCGGCTCGCGTCTGCGCAGTAGAGGCGGATGAGGCTCGAGTCTGCGCAGTAGAGGCAGATCAGGGGTAACGAGAGCTGCTGTTTCATAGTCGAAGAAGAGAAATGCTTAGTTTTCCTTCAACTTTTAACTTTCCCTGCAGGTACCGCGTTCACTGTTTGTTTGTTTTCCTCGGTATTTACGCGTTTTACGACCTACAGTTTGTTGGTAGCTGTTAAATACATTTCCTCATTCATTTGTTGCCTATTCGTTCTTGTGGACAGCACTTCCTTGTAGAAAATCATGGCTGGTTCTGAGGCTTCAGACGACCAGAAATTCTCCTTATCTGAGGTGCTCGACCCTTTTAAGTTGTGTCTGTCGGAAAATAAAGAGGTCTACCTTGAACACTACGTCGCTGGCTGGCGTGGACTTGTGAAGTAAGTGATATAGGGTGAAATATTTTGCTGATATTGGTCCAACATAGTGATAAAAGGAGTATTCAGGAAGTGAACGTACTGATACATGAGTGTATACATCCGTCAATACCAGTAGAAGTCCTAAACTAAAAGCATATTAAAGTTAATATATATATATATATATATATATATATATATATATTAATAATAATAATAATAAAGAGAGGTTCTACACAGAATGCACCTAAAAATGAAAAAAAAAAAAGTTTTCCTTATTTGACATTGGACTGGTAATACTGATGCATCAATATGTAAACAATCAGCATTTTACTGTTTTATGTGGTTAAGGTGGAGCTAGTTTTAGGTCTGTTAAGGAATATATAACTAGCTTAGTGCTTAGTCAAACCCCTCTTTTTGTGAAATATTAGATAATCAAACAGTCTTAGAAGCTTCAATAAAAAGCAATCAGATTTTTAAGAGGCTTCTTCATATGAAGGGTCATATGGTGAAATGCTGGAAACTACGACTGCTTGTCCAGAACTCTACAGTCACTGTCACTCTACACTCATCATGGGGATGTGAAGAGTTCATACTGTTATTTTGCTTTTTAAAAAAATATTTTTTAGTTGATTCATTCACTGCAAGCAAGCAAACTTAAGAACAAAGAGAGCATGGCTCCTGCTGTCTGCTTATACAAAATAAACCAGAATAGAATAAATAAAAAAATAGATTAGGAATGCAGACTAAAGAAATCTCAAATAAAGGAAAATACTAAATAATCATTGTTTAAATTAAGCAAATATTTAGAAGAATCAAATACTGAACAAAAAGAAACAGACTAATAAACAGCTCCTTGAATGTGTTGGATTCTGTTTTTCTTTTTTTATTTGGATGTTTTCATCAAATATATGTTGTGGAGTAAAACTTGAATGATCTCTCATTTCTGTACTGTGGAGTAGAAGTATTAAGTAGTATAAAAGGAGAACACACTCAAACTGGGTAGATTCTTGGAATTCCTTGTGTGACCCAAACTGATCGTAATTTGTAGACATTCAAAGCATGACTTTACTATACATGCTACACTGAGCTTTAACAGTAGACAAAAGGTTGTAGAGCTGTTATCTGAGTGTTTGTTTGTCTGTAACAGGTTTCTGAACAGCCTGGGAAGCGTCTTTGGCTTCATTTCAAAGGACGCTGCCAACAAGGTCCACATCCTGGTGAACTACCTGAACGGGGAGAACGCATCTCAGTATGTCACAGTGCAGTCGATGGTAAAATACGAGCTAGAGAATGAACTCGTGGACCTAACCAAGAGAGGCAGCCATCCAGAGTCCGGCTGCCGCACTCTGCTCAGGCTCCACCGTGCACTCAGGTGGCTGGAGCTCTTCCTGGAGCGTCTTCGCACCGGCTCCGAGGACAGCAAGACATCTGCCATGTGTGCAGAGAGCTACAATGAGTCCCTTGCCCAACACCACCCATGGGTGGTCCGTAAGGCTGCAGGTATGGCTTTCTGCGTGCTCCCTGGGCGCCCTGCTTTCTTAGAAGTGATGAATGTTGGTCCACCAGAGCAGGTCGTGGCCATGCTGGGTGAGGCCCTGCCTCTTATCTCTGAGGTGTACCAGATCACAGAGGATCTTTACGCTCAACGTAACCTGCTGGACTTACCGTGAAGAGGAAGAAGTGCTACAACTGTCACCTCATACTTCATGCTGCTGAAGGGCTGTTTGAGGCAGCTGCTACTCCGGTTTGGTGATTCACGAGTTGTGTTACAGCCAAGTGTAATTTCACTAAACACTAAACTCAAGCTACTGCAAACCAGTTTTTTTCATATACAATGTAGCATGTTTGTCTTTGTCCTGATATAATCCGCCTTTGAACAATCTTTTAAATTTAGTATTTTGTTGTAAGTTAATTTGATTTTAGTTTAAGTAAATGAAGGGAACTACAGTTGGCCTTAGAAGTATTTGCTCACTGCTAAAAGCTGTGGTTTTCATACTTTATTAAGCAAACGGACAAGAAAAACAAGTTGATATTTTTGATTTGGAAGTACAGTGTTTAAAACTAGGGAAAGCCACAATGAATTTATTGATAAAGTAGAAAACACAAAATAATTGGTTCTCAGATTGAAGAATTTGTTGATTTTTCTTGGTTGTACAGAAGAAACAATTTAATATTTGGAGGTTTTTGTCTGAAAAATCAAGACCGTTGTCGAGATGTTGGACATTTTTCACAGTGTTTTTTGAAGCTTTATAGACCAAACAGTAAATTGAGAAATTAACAAATTGGTTATTTGGTATCTCTCTGACATCAGTCGTTGTCTTTATGTATCAGAAGAAATGCTTGTAATATTGTAATGTGGTCATAAGTCCCTTAGGTCATTACTGACAGATTTCTCATACAGTAGTATTTTAAAACATTGACATGTTTATGCACCTGTTACACAGGTGTAGACCATATTACCATTGGGACATATTAGCACATATTTTACAAATTATGATGGTTTTACAGTAAAAATGCAGCTGAAAGACAACCAACAAACTGCCACCTCAATGGCGGCCTTAATCATTGACCAAAAAAAGTACAAAACTGTGCCAATATTTATGGTGGAAGTAGAAAACAAACTAACATTAGTATTGTTATGAATCTTTAAATTTATGCAAAAGCACAAAGTCACCAAACCACACACAGTGAACTTTCTGTTGTTTTGTTGTTCTATTAGTGAATATTTGTTTTTAGGGAACAAAAAAAAATCTTAGTTGTGGACTCTACTGTATATGATCTATGTATGTATACATGACCAAATATGCTATGTTTTTTGCTGATGTACAGGTTTTAGGGCATTTATTAATTAAAATCCTTAAATGCACTGATCATGGGTAACACTAAAGGAAGTGATGTTCTACAAGAACGTGCTGTACTTTATATTATATATAATATATATTACTGGTAATTCAGATATGTCATAAACATGGAAACTTAATAAAAAACTGGGTTGATGATCATCTGAAATATTTGTTAGAATTTTTTATTTGGTTGATTTAAGCATTTTGTCGTGTTGTGTAATTTAGATGAGGAGATGAGTTGTTGTAATTTACTCCTAATGTTTGGAAACCCTGCAAACCTATTGAAAATGTTACCATCTTTGGATTCCCACAAATCCCACAAAAGGTCTCATAAAGCCAAGTGTTAAGATTTTAACCTGATAGTTGCACAATTTCCAAGTTATTTTACAGTAAATTTTAAGAATGAATAAACTTATTATAAGTAATGACTAAAATGTGAGACAGTGCTTTTGGCAAAGAAAGGTCATCCAACTGTCTACAATTCTGTAATTGTACAACATCATTTTGCAGATGCTTTTATCCAAAGCAAAGTATATCTGAGAGCAGATACAACACAAGCAAGGATCTAGTCAGGAGAAAACAATCTGGATAAGTGTCGTAGAACAAGTTTAAGTGTGATAGGGCGTTGCCAGTGGCAGGTTGTGTGGGAGGTAAATGTCTTTGACACAAATGCCACTGTGTACCTTGGTGTTAGTCTAAATTACAGCTTTAATCAGATGCAAAGATGCACCTTGTCACAATATAGTTACCAACATTTAGCTATCACTATACCAGTCCATCCATTATCTATACACTGCTTAATCCTCACTAGGGTCATGGGGGGCTGGAGTCTATCCCAGCTGATTCAGGATGAAGACAGGGGACACCCTGGACAGGTCACCAGTCCATCACAGGGCTACACTTGGAGATCTTGCAGCTGCGAGGCGACAGTGTTAACCACCAATCCACCGTGCAGCCCCCCACGATACTGGTGCGTCTCAAAAAAATGTTGTCATGAAAAATTTTTCATCAGCTACTTATTAAAATAAAAATTGATTTTTTTGAGCCTTTTTTTTGTTTATTGGTTAATTTAGGGAGTTCACTTTTCATTTTCAAATTTAAAATTTTAATTCAAACAAAGTCTGCTATAGGCTTCCACACACCTGAACAATATTCAACCTGGTGAATTTAGCTGCAGTTACCCAACTCCGTCACCATGGGGCGCCCTGCCTCCAACCGCAGGTCGTCATGGCAACCAGAGTGCCATGGCAACCTCGCTGACGCTCAAGAGAAGGAACCTTCAGCTCCAAGTGGAAACTGGGAGGAAAGTAATGAACACAAACGGTACTTTAACGTTTTAACTTGTCATTTAGCTACATCAGTGTACATGTTTACGTTCAGGTAGCCTCTCAAACTGTCTTCAAGGCTAATGCCAACTTAGCGATGACTTTCTTCACTCTTTTTGCGAAGGATCGAAGCCGAGGAACATCTGGGAACCTTCACTGACAGACTTTTCTGAACAGCAGCTTATCGATGCATCTAACAAGACCAAAGTCCTCCAAAGGGCGAAGCAGACCCGCTGTGAACAGCTCCGTGTACGCAGGTGAAGCAGACGACATCCAGGGGCTGCCGAAGTCTCCCGGCAGCAGCAGGCCGGACAGGAACCTCCGCTCCCGGTCTCAGCCTGCGATGTGGCCGACCAGCCAGCTGAGCCAGGACCAGGTCCTTCACATGCTGCAACACGCTCCTGCTGCTCCGCCACAGTCCCTCAACAAGTACAAGGTCCTGCCATCCATAGAGAGGAGGCGCTCAGAGCTGAGTCCCGAGACAAGCCTGGATAAAAACATGTCCAGGCTCAGTCTGTCTGACGTGACCCAGACCTGCAGGTCCGAAGGGGACCTCCGAGTGCGGCCAAAGCAGCCCGACGCAGCTCCACAAGCCATCAAAGAGACCGGCGGCTGCGGCAGTTTGCTGCTTGCTGTAAGAGCGCCGTGTGGCAGCAGGTTTCAGCAGCACTTTGAGCCCACGGACACTCTGCACACGGTGAGGAGCAGTGCAGAGGTCAGGTACGGAGGCAGGTACGGGGAGGTTTTCATAGAGACCATGGATGTGCCACGCAGGACCTTCACTGACCTGGATATGACTCTGGCACAGTGCGGCATCCTGAACAGGTCGCTGCTGTGCATCTCTCACAATAACGACAGCATGAGTGAGCAGGAGTGATTTGTTTTGCCGCCTGTGTGGTGGTATTTACGCCCCCTTTCATTCACATTCACTATGACTTGACTTTGTGCAGAATGATGTATGGGTATGAGTTTAAAATCTGCTGTTTCATACTAATCTGCTGTTTCTCTCTATTAAATCAGAGTTAAAAACATGGATGTATAAGTCAGACATGGTCCAAATCTGCAGCTTACACAAGTACAGTATAATAACTTCAGGCCTTCAGTACACAAACAAAGAATCTACTTTTCTCCACAGTAAAAGACAATTTTAGATTCTGATTCTGTTGCATTGTGTAAACAATAAAATGCTTTTTAACATATATATTAGAATTTCAGGAGCTCCATAAGGATGTTTTTGGAGGAAAAACATACTTGACTCAAAGTTAATAATCTTCAAACATGCATAAATGTTTGACTAAATCACATTCAGAACAGTTCACTAACCTTTTTTGCTCTAGAAAACACAAGGCAGTTCCATTATCACACTCTCAAGCAAAAGACAAAATAAGCTCCTGGATTTGCTGCCATTTTCTGATGTAGAAAAAGAATTAGCTGTGTAATGGTCACAATACGCTTTCAATACCAAAGCGAGACATCAGAGATTCTTGTTTTTTTTTTTTTCATTGTGGTTCTTATCTGCCAAATAAAATTGTTCATAATGATGCACTTGGTTGTACGTATGAAGATTTTACCGCACTACCATCTACTGATTTCAAAGTGTGTAGCATGAAAGCCAGATTTAAACAGAATCACTCTTGCAAGTGTGCAGTTATTATCCCAAATGGAGAAAATGTGAAATGCAAAAAGGAGGAAACTGTGTTTAAAATGCATCGAAGACTCTTTCATATTTTATCTGATTGAACGGAGCCACAAGATAAAACTGGCAGAAAAATTAAGACTGATTTTAACTTCTTACACATAAAGATTTTTTTTAATCTTTTCAACATACTGTATAATCTCTCAAGAGATATTTTCATAGTTACATGTAAAATAAAGGCTCTGAGCAACTGATTCATTCTTTTGTATACATCCCACATGAAGGTCTTTATTAAAGGGGCCAAAAGCTGCCCTCTGACATGCAAACACAGCACTTCAACTTAAACAGTCTTAACAGGCTTTACATGTGACAATATATATTTTTTCCTGACAAAAAAACCGAGCAACAGCTCTGACTTCACAGTCTAATTAAGTTTTCAGCAAACTAGGCATTTTAAACTTTAAAATGCTTCAAGTTATTTGGCACTCAACCTTGATGAAACATGCACATATCTACAGATGAGACAGTCTTTTATACCACAGCAATTCAAAGTTAATAATAAACACAACACTGCAAACAATAATCATGCCTCTTACATGCTGTTTTAACAGCTACTGGTTAGTTTATAGTCTCTCTGAGACACCGCTTAAAGCTTTAAGGTGACAAATAAACAATCAAGATCAGACACAACAAACAAAAAGTGAAAAGAAAATTGGCACAAATTAGTGCTGTGAAATAAGTTTAGCAAACCCACATTTGCATGCATCTGTAAACAATAACTTGCAAACAACGAACCCTTGAAAGAACTACAGTCACATTTGAGGTAATGCATCCACCTGCTCCAGTTGAGGGGAGAAACTTTCAGGCCAACATGCTCTCCATTTCTTCAAGATTACGTGTGTCAAGTTTTCTGATTTTCCTGTCTGTGCGAGAAAAGAAAAGCAGTTAGGATGTGGATTTATGTTCTGTTTAATATAATCACACTGAAAAACAACAGAACATACTGAAATGCGACTCAATTTGGTTGATAATATCCATGCCATGAATGCTGTCCACCATACTGACAGCAAACCCTTGTTTGCCAAAGCGTCCTGTGCGGCCAATCCTGTGAAGGTATGTTTCATTGTCAGCATTTCCGCTGAAGTCCACAGGGAGGTCAAAGTTGACCACGAGTGACACCTGCTCCACATCGATACCTGTAATCCACATGACCACAAACAGGTGCTGAGATATTCATACTCACCTGCCAGCATGAAGAGGTTTTCATCTCAAAATGTCAGTCGTAATCTTTCTTACCTCTGGAGCACACGTTTGTGGTCACAAGCACCTTCTCTTTGCCGTTCCTGAAGCGTTCAATGACAGCAGCTCTCTGCTCCACTGTCATTAGCCCACTCAGCATTGCCACCTGATGTCCTTCTTTGGACAGCTGTTCAGACAGCCAAGAAGCCATCTTGCGAGTCTGAAGAAACAAAGTTTCAGTAAAAGTGAACTTCTAAAAGGCAACAGCTTTACACATATTGTCACGTGAAAGTATCTGGAATTGAAAAAATGTTTTTATTTAATTTTAATTTTTGTCTTATGAGATGCTGATGAGAGAGCGTTTCTTCAGGATCCAAAAACTAAAAGCAATTAAATAAAGAAGTGTTTGCATATCCGGATCAGCAGTTCAGCATTCTGATAGCTTGTGGAATGAAGCTGTTGATCAGTCTGGAGGTTCTTCCTTTAATGCTCCGGAAATGTTTGCCTGATGGCAGCAGGTCAAACAGTTCATGGAGAGGGTGTGAGGAGGCCCTGACAGTGTTCAGTGTCCTGCTCCTTCAGCGGCTCTGGAAAAGTTCAGAACTAGCTGTCTGTCTGTCCACCCGGCATAATGTCGTCTCCTTCAGCTGTATGTCCATCTGGGATGTTGTCATGGAGCCATGTTTCTGTTAAAGCAAACACACAGCAGTCTTTCCACTCTCTGTGGGTTTCTCTCAGCAAACGTAGCTCGTCCAGCTTGTTATCGAGGGAGCGGACATTGGAGAGCAGGAGGACGGTCCTGCTGGTCTGGAGGGGTTAGCCTTTAGCCTAGCATGGACCCTGCTGGTCTGGAGGGGTTAGCCTTTAGCCTAGCATGGATCTCGGCTCTTTTCCTCCTCCTTTGTTTACATTCATATCGTTTGCGCTTCCTTCTCTCTCGGGTAACTGCCGGCGTAGTCTCCAATCAGACTCTGTGTTGCTGTTGTATGTCTAGATCACAACCAAGTGCTGCAATTTTAGCAACGTTCATTGCCCTGATGTTCAGCAAAGTCTGTCGGCTGCAAGTTTTGTGGAATGAACGTCTGGGATTGGCAAGACACTCAAAATGTTCACTTTCATTGTCTCCTGAAGGGGCCGCTGCGTCCATTCACGCCGCCATCTCTATAATGATATATATATTATTGTATATATGTATGTATGTATGTATGTATGTATGTATGTATGTATGTATGTATGTGTGTGTGTGTGTGTGTGTGTGTGTGTGAAGGATCTTAACCTTACCGTTTACAATAAATTATCCAAGTAAGTATAGATTAATGAATAATATTGAAGGACCTTACTTTAGCACTTGATTAGTCACAATTCACATGTTGATACCAGTAACTGTTTAACTATCAGTGTCAACTGACAAACAATAAAGAAACATGGTCATTTGTTATCATAATTAAGTTTGTGATAAAAACAGCTGACTTACATGGCAGAAGATCATGGCCTGTGCTATGGTGAGGCACCCATACAGGTCACAGAGTGCCATGAACTTGTCCTCCTTGTTCTTACAGTCCACATAGAACTGCTTAATGTTATCTACAGTCTCCTCTTCCCGCTTCAGCTTAATGATATTGGGGTCAGGAACCACTCGCTCTGCAAACCTCCACACAGAGTCCTCAAAGGTGGCCGAGAAAAGGAGCATCTGACAGTCCTTTGTCAGCTGTCTGCATCAGTATGAAGATAATTGTGACCATAAAATCTTGTTCGCTGACATGACAAAATAAAAACTGTTACTATTACGCCTTTCTCTAAGCAAAACCCACCGATAGATGCGGAGGCTCTGGTCTTGATGACCCTGTGTGGCAATCATCACATCAGCCTCGTCCAGAACAAACAGAGTAATCTTCTTGGGGTCAATGAACTTGTACTTGACGCACCAGTCAAGGACTGTGCCCGGCGTTCCAATGACAATGTGGGCCTGCAGCTTAACACCTCGCAGCACTGAACACAGCACAGACAGTCATGTAGAAATACGGCAACCTCATCACCAAAAAATCTTCCGACAGAAGCTGGGTCATTCCCTGTCAAATCATCAATTTTTTAAAATCAATTTCTTCTCGACCATCTCTGATTTGCCTAAAAATTCTATAGCATAAAATATGAATAACAATTTTTTTTTAAAATGAGATTTTACAATTATATATCAAATATTTTTCCGAGATAAGAGAATATTTGACCTACTTGTTCAATATTGCAGATTCTGAATCAATGGCAGTAAAAGAAATAGAAGTGAGAATTTCCTTTTTTCTGTAATAGTTTTTCAAATATTGTCATTTAAACACAGCCTCAAATAACAATGTGTGAAAAACATGAGTTGATAGGCAATTTCTTTAAAAAAACAAGTTAAATCTCAGAAAGTACTTGATATATCCCGTTAAAATTTCACACATGCCATTTTAAATGTCCATAGGCTATGATAAAAGGAATTTCAAGCAAATCAGAAATATTCGAGCAGAAGCCTCTGATGATTAGAGATGGAATAACCCTATTACATTTATGGTCATAGTCTTACGTCTGTTCCCCCGAATGGCGTATTCCACTTTCACATCTGGACAAAATTTCCCCATTTGCTCAATTACTTGACCAATCTGCAGTGCAAGCTCGTACGTTGGCGAGATACAAAGGCACTAAAAGACACAGTTTGAAATGCTGAGTACACTTCAGGATATGATTAAGGAACACCAGCTGGCTCTGAGTCTCTGAAGATGTTCTGCTTACCTGAGTCCACTTATTGGCAGGGTTTACATGGCTGAGCATGGCCAGAGAAAAAGCAGCAGTTTTACCTGTGCCAGACTGTGCCTGTGCGATCAGATTCTGAGGTCTGAAGCAGAGAAAGTGCACAAATAAGGAAGTGAATAAATCACAGGCAAACACGATGTGACGAAGTTACAGAAGGATTTTAAAAAGGACCTATTGTTATGGGTTTATGGACATTATGTAGGACAATGATTACAGTTCATTTCAGTGCTGAAATGATCTGCTAGTATGCATAATGACGTATTTAATCGTTGAAGAATAATGCCCCATTTTTTAGTTGCACGTTCTGAAATGTGAGATGTTTTGTTTTTATTGGCTTTATAGTAAAATGAAAATTTGTTGGTTTGACAAAACAGAACATCTCATGAAATTAACTTTCTCACTGATACTTGATGTTTTACACAGCAAATAAATAATATGCAGGTTAATCAGCAACAACAACAAAAAAGTTGCAGCCACTACCTATTTACTTTACGCCAAATTTCCTATTAGCTGTACTGTGCGACTTCTGTTTGAAATCCAGCCTACAATTAGCTTTCCATTCTACATAAAACATGTCTGTGTCAGTGGTATGTAAAGTAAAATGTATTCTCATACTTCAGCCATTAAACTATACTAGAACTAGAACAAAAATATGGCAACTATTTAATATGATATTACCAAAATGAAAAATGAAAAACAGTTAAAGAAAGTTATTAGGTCCATGTCTCAATATGCATACTTGTCCGTACTTGCGTTCTTGCGAAACGTCATCAGTCGGAGACCAAGTACTGTCTCAATTCTAAGTACGCATCTGACCAAGTAGGGATGAAATGCCCGGATGAGTTCTCGCTCCGCCCACATTATCGAGTCTGCATCAGACCGGACTTGTGGTGACTTCAGACAGCCAAGTATCCCAGAATACATTTCGCATCAACCAGCGGCAAAAGCCAAGGAGAAAATTTTCAACAGTAACACAAGTTTTTTTGTAAATACTATTGTTATTGTGACACAAAATGAAGTTTTAAGATTATTTTAGGTGAGAAAGTAGTGGTATAAATGTCAAATCTGTGGTCATTTTATCACGATAAAGCCTGCTTAAAATTTCAATTTCGGAGATGTGAGTGTCCCGGTTTGACAGCTGTGACGGCGGTCAGCGCTCAGAGTAGCTCCCGAGGACAGCAAGACTTTCTGAAGTCTGCCGCTGGCTCTGATGGTTCCGTAGTGGTTAAACAGGGATATACGTAGTTTAGCGGTCACACTTTGTCCTCACAGTGAAATGTGTTCATTGCTCACAATCGATTTAAAAGAAGTTTAAGTTAATGTTGGAACTTCTTATTTTTAATTAGTAGTGTACTCGATCGCTGTCTTAGTACGTCTGAACTGAACTGGGAGACTCCCCAGAACATGAGCAGCTCCATCCTGGACCTTCTGACGGAGCATCTTCAGCAGAATGCTATTTCCAGCTCCACTGAAGAACACCAGGAGGATGAGAGGCACAATGTTTTTCATCTGTTATATGTTTTGTAAGAGACTTTTGTCCAGTTATAAAATGAAATCTTATAGAAAAATTACCCTGTTTATTATATATAGTTCTTGTGTATTTAAGTACTTTTTGCAAGTAAAATTTTTCAACTGTATTCCAAAGATGAATTGTCTAATGTCAATTGCTGAAGCCAAAATTACATTTTCCTCCAACATCTGACCTGTTTGAGCAGACACTGCTGTCAAAAAATAGCTTTAATAAAGATTGTATAATGATCTTAGAAACCTCAAAAGGTATACATATTTTTTGTATATCTATTAAAATGTAAATAAGCAGAGCTGTGTTATTGTATTTCATTTCATTTCATTGTTTTTCATGGTAAAAATCATCAGACTAGATGGGCCGAGGTGGTGACGTCATTGAGTACGCTGCTGTCCCAATTGCACATTAACGGCGATGCGTTCTCCCGTACTTGCAAGTCCATACTTGCGTACAGACTCACGAAAACGCAAGTATGGACTTGCGTACTTGAGTATTGAGAAATGGCCTAAGTCAAGAGTGACTTGACCCAGAATTTTGCATTTTTCAATAGGGCTCCAATGAACTTTAATTTTCAGTCAATTTGTGGAATGCCTGAAATAACTGTTCTTTTTTTTCATCTCTATAATGTCGCAAAGCAACAAAAAGTGAGCTTCAATTGTCAAGTTAATAATTTTGTTGAAACAAAATATATACAATAGGGTCCAAAAGTCTGAGGCCACTAGTGTAGATTCTTATATTTTGCATTTGCTTTGAACTTAAGAACTTTCCCAATCATAAAAATGCCCATGAATTTCAGAAAATCTTCAGGCTTGGTGCCCATTTAGTTTAATCACAACTGTACACAACCAGCAATTTGTTGAAGCCAGAAAAACATCACCATACCTTCTTCATTTTTTTTTTTTTTAAAAAAAGGAAACTTCATGTCTTAAATCTACTGCCCTGATTTTTTCGTACCTACTTCATGTCAGCCCCAGCTGTAAGTTGTGTGTTTTGTCTAATGTAAATTGCTGCCATTTCCCTTTGGGAATCTACAAAGTATCCCATGTGTTTAAATTCAGGTGAATTAACTTGACCTCAATGTTTCTGCAATAAATAAGGTTTGTAAATCGACTCACGGTTGTGCCAGCATCATAGGTAAAGCACATTCCTGGATTTTGGATGGTCTGTTGAAACCCATGTTATACACACCCTTCAGCAGCTCAGGTGTCCTGTTAATGATAAATGCATAAAATAAACGTATTCAACAACTTAAGATCCAAATCGCAGTTACATCTCGGACTCACAGCCTCAGGTCCTCAAACGTCTTCACGGAGTACAGGGGCGAGGTGGGGTCCGCCTGCAGGACCTCCACCTGGTTTCTGTTCGTCACCAGAGCGTGGCGGATCATTTTATTCAGCAGGGACTCCTCAGCCAGGTTCACCTTGTCCGCCTGTCCTCTCCAGTCCCCAGCTTCAAGCTTGTCCGGCATGAGGTTGCCTGCACAGGTGGAAACACCACCAAGGGACCATGAACGCGCCATCACAGGTCAGCGCTAAAATAAATTAGCTTAGATATTAATGAAGGCATGACAAATTAAGTTACCATTAACATCTTCTGTGATGTTACGGCGGCCACGAACTTGATCTCCTTTGTTGGGGAGATCAAACTGGTGAGACAAAATGAGGTTAATCACATTAAAAGCCGTCAAATCAGTAAGCTAGCGCATTCAATTAGCCGGCTAACGGGCGAGGAGCGCTGTTTGTTAGCTAGCCCGTGTTTGCCGTTAGTTTTGGAGCTGTTGGTCACCTGTAAAACTTACCTGTGTGGATGGAGCTGGAGCCTCCTGAAGGTCCACTGAAGGCGTCCACGAGTCTTTGAACATTTTCTAACGTTAACCGTGGAGTTTCTTTCGAGACAAACAACACTTCTGGCAAAGTTTGAAGTCAGCGTCAACGACGTCCCGCTCTCCCGACCTGAACCAAACGTCACCGATGGACCACTCGTGATGCCTTCAGAAGAGCCAGAATAATCGGTAATATACGCACTAACTCAACAGAAGCAACCGAGTGGCTGAGAATTGGAAATTTCACAACCTCTGCTATTGTTAAGCATTATGTTGGGGCGCATTTTGAGGCGTCATTCGCAAAATACGTTTTTACTACACCTCTTACCACAACTGATTGTATTCTTTGTCGACTATTTTAAGATACGTGTTTTGTTTGTTTCTTTGCGTGATACTGTGAAAGTGGCGGTTTCATTTACGCTCAGGAATTCCTATTGAATGAAAAAGAAAATGAAAAATACTTTATTCATCCCAGAAGGGAAATTCAATGAAATTCAATTCAATTCCTGAAGGCACCACAGCATTGCAACCGCATTTGTAGTCAACTAACTCACCTACCACACATGATGATCGATCAACTCAGCCGCTGGATAAAAAGGTATGTTACAATTCATTGAAGGAGTATGATGCATGAAAAAAAAGCAACTATATTACAGATTCTGTTTTTATGAAGAGATAATTTTTCTATTTTGGATTTGCTTTGATCTGTGTTCAACAGTTTGGTCTGCTGCCATCTGAAGTATTGATTTAGTTTCCTCATGATAATTTCTCAACCATCATTGTGTGTGTGTGGTCATTTCAATTACCACCAGTCTTTATGAGTCAAAGTATTTGAACAATTAACTGTTATTTCACCATTTTTCCCCCTGTTTTGTTAAATTTACAACTAATAACTAGTAAAATCACAGAAAATTATTAATTTACATGTTTGCCAGAAAAGCATAAGAGAGGAAACTTTCAGATAACATCCACATCAAACGTCTGTATTTTTACAAATGTACTTTCTTTCTTGTTTTATTTTATTTTATTTTACAAGGATTTCCCTGATTTGTTGAATTACAGATTATATATTGAAAAATCATGGGGAAAAATGTACATGTTGACTGTAAAAACAAACTAACAAAAAACCCAGGCCAAAACTGTAAGGATTCAAGGATTCAAGGCCTTTATTGGTCACAAACACAGTTATATACATATATTTAGAGAGAGAGAGCGAGAGAGAGAGAGAAAGGGATAAAAAATAAGCAAAAATAAATAAATCTAATTTTTAAACAATGCAAAAGGAGATGGAATAGATAAAGAAAATAATAACACTATATACATGTATATATACAAAGTGCAAAGTGACCGGCTGGATTGTTATTGGGTCTATTGTCTCAGGTTCAGCAGGCGGACAGCCTGAGGGAAGAAGCTCCTCCTCATCCTCTCTGTGTTTACCTTCAGGCAGCAGTAACGCTGCCCTGATGGCAGCAGAGAGAGCAGTCTGTGGCTGGGGTGGGTGGGGTCACTCTCAATCTTCCTGGCCTTTAACCTGCATCGTTTGGTGTAATTGTCCTGCAGGTTGGGGAGGGTGGTTCTGATGGTGCGCTCAGCTGAGCGGACCACCCTCCTCAGGGCCAAGAAGCGCTGCTGGGTGCTGCTGCCCATCCAGGTGCTGATACTCTCAGCCACAACACTCTAAATGGTGTAGAAGTTCCTGAGCACCTTGAGAAGAAGCTTGAAGTCCTTCAGGTGTCGGAGGAAGGAGAGACGCTGTCGAGTCTTCTTCACCAGGGTGTTGATGTGACAGGACCACGTCAGGTCCTGCGTGATGTTGACACCCAGGTATTTGAAGCTCTCCTCTCGCTCCACCTCTGTCCTGCTGATCCTGAGTGGGTGGTATGCCTTTTGCTGCTTCTTGCTGTAGTCCACAATCAGCTCTTTAGTCTTGCTGACGTTCAGGAGGAGGGTGTTGTCTCTGTACTAGTCCTCCAGGTGGGTGATCTCCATTAAACAGTCCTCCTCGTTGTTGTTGGAGATCAGACCCACCACTGCTGTGTCGTCAGCAAACTTAATGATGGTGTTAGGTCTGATGTGCACAGGCAGTCATTAGAGTACAATGAGTACAGCAGAGGGCTCAGCACACAGCCCTGGGGAGCACCGATGTTCAGGGTGCATGAAGGGGGACAGGTGATTCCCCACTTGATCCACTTGTGGTCTGCTGGTCAAAAAGCTGTAGACCCACCTGCACAGGGAGGAGGTGAGGTCCTGCAGCTAAGTGATTATTATTATTAATAATAATAATAATAATTTAAAGTTGATAACATGCTTAACTACCGTGTGTGGCATATGGAATCACTTAGTTAGTCCATTAATTTATGTTAAGTAATATCTAAGGCAAAGACTAAAGAACATTCTCTATTTTCAGCTTCTCAAATTTGAGAATTGCCCGTTTTTGCCTTTTGTGATTGGAAACTATCAATTCAGAGGCTGGAATATGCCATCTCATATCAGAGAGATCAGATGATTAACCAAGCTGTTGGTATTTTCAGTTGTTGTTAGTTGCAAAACAAATAAGTGGAATTTGCCTCGAACTTTCTTAGTGTTTCCAGAAAGAGAAGAGAGGAAGTGAGGGTGTGAGAGGTTGAGAAAGAGATAGACAGCGAGAGGGAGGGAGGGAGTTTTATTGGCTGCAGGTTAATTCAATTTGGAGGCGGATGTTGAGTTTCAGCCAACCCACCCACACACACACACGCACACACACACACACACACACACACACACACTCGCATGCACGCACAGACACCATCTACTTCCTCACAGCTACGCCAAAATGGCTTTGCAAACACATATTAATTGTCATGGTAACCTCCCGCAGTAAAAACAGATGGATCAAACCAAGTGATCACAAAACACAGACACAGCCGAACACCCACGCTGGATTTAAATCATTAAGGGCTTTTCCAATAACATCAGAGACAGGACAGCAGAGAGATTAGAGGTGTGCGTTACTCCCTCTCCCTCTTGTTTGCTCCTGATGTTACAGTGCATGTCGTGCACACTGATCTCTTGCTATTAAAAAGGATACCTGAATGGATCATGTCGTCATCGAAGGCTGGAGTGAGTGGGTGGTGCTGATGCTTTGAATGAGGATGGGAAGGGGGATGTTTGGACCCTGTCGCAGCACCCCCCCTGCCCCCCATTCTCTCTCTCTCTCTCTCTCTCTCTCTCTCTCTCTCTCTCTCTCTCTCTCTCTCTCTCTCTGAAACTCCAGCATACACAGAGGGAGGAGGAGAGAATAAATTAAACAGTTTTTGCAACCACATGTTGCTGTGCTGGATTGAAACGGCGCAGCAGCTACCTTGCCTTTCTTTGCAGTGTACACCAAATTGTCAATGTGGCCGCTGCATATGTAGTTCCAGCCACCTGTGGCAGCACTCCTATTCCCTCTACGCCACAGAGAGGGAACAAAAAAAAAAAAAAAAAAAAGAGGGAGTTGAGAGAGGTCGGAGAGATATCTTTCTTGACAAGTGGACTTCTGACAGAGAGCGATCCTCACTGCATCCCCTCTTCACACAAATGAAAGGTAAGATAATGAGGCTGATACTTTGACCGTATCAGACGAATTTTAATACCGCAATGTGTCTCTGTAATGGTGATTATTTTAAACAAGCCTATCTATTGTTTTAAATGAAGAGAAAGGTCAGCCAGTGTGAAGATGATCAAACCTGCCAGTGTTGCGTCTCCATTTGCACTGTAAACAGAGACACTGTGCTCCAACAGGTGGCTGCACAGCATCTGCTCCGTGTTTTAACAGTAATGAGTGCAGAGAAGTGTGGCAATGCTGATGCTGAGAGTTGACGGTTTGGTGGTCTTTTCATAAATCCCAGAAGGTGGCACAGTGATTCATGTGACGGAGCCAGCCAGGAGAGAAGCACCCTGGGACTGCCACTTTTAACACTAATTACTATAAACTGAAACACTGAGGAGAAAGATGCTTGCTGAGCTTCCTGAAATGCAGCTTTCTGCAGCAGAAAAAAACCCAAAACTATCTTGTGTAAAATTAGAACCTTCCATATGAGTTAAATGTTTATTTTTACATTGATTTGTAACTATATGTTCAGGTTTTGTGTCTAAATCGCCGTTTTTATCGTCAGCACGTGGATGTTTTGAGGTCCAGCCAATTTCAGTCTTCCACTAAGTCTTTCTTTCATCCACCTATTGGAGGAGATTGTGCCTATTGAGGGACAAAGGGTTGTGCTTCTTAGTCTGTGGCTGAATGGACACATGATGGCACTGTTGAGACAGATGACAAAATAGTCCGTAATTACATCTGCATGACCTTTTCCTCGCCATAAATAACAATGTGGTGCCTAAAACCCTAATTTGACTGTTGGAAAGACTGATCGATTTTCTTATTGATTCTAAAGGGCTTCTTGTGTAGCCAGGGAGCGTGGAAGTTGCGCTTGAAGTTAGAATTTTTTTTTTATAGGGTGATAATGATTTTGTGCTTTGTTTGAGGGAGGGAGAACGCCTGATGTTTTAATCAATTGCACGGTCACAAATAAATGCACACTTCAGAGATGCTTGCTGGTCCGTCTGCAGGCGAGTGAGCGAGTGAGCAGAGCTGTCTCTATGGATATTGCTTTCGTCATAACACTTCCTATTAAGCCTGTGTGGGGCTCTGGTCATGCAGCAGAAGCAGACCCTTGACAGCATAACCAAGACTGCTGGAGGAGGAGACGGAATTAACGATGAAGCATCACCCTTCTTTATTGAGTAGTCTACATATTTAATGATGCTGTATTCCTCCTTTTCCATATTTAATGCATCACAAGTTAGTTGTTTTTTTCCTCACATTGCAGAAAATACATTTCTTTTTTCTTTCCGATTACATTGTTGCTGTGTTTTAATGATAATGCCACCTTCAATTGGTTTTATTCCATTTATCTCGCACTCTTAAAACACCGGTGTCACATTACCTTAGGCTTCTTAGTTTCCTGTTGAGAAAGATTATTGCGATTGGAGCACTGAACTGACATCTAGGTAGCAGCTTCAGCTCTAGTGTTTGGACTCTGTAATGAGACCCTGCTGTGTGTTTGATGTTATTGCTGGGAAACGGAAAAAGAGGATTTCTGTTATTGAATCCCCAGGGCATTCAATGTTAATTAGATAAATATATATCAAATTAGATATTTGTGTGAAATATTATATTAAATATATAAATTCAACAGTAATTTGAGTTATCATTTTGGAGCAGCTTCATATTATGAAATGTTTTAGTATTATAGAGTTCAAGCTTGGCAATTGTTATCAAATGTAGCCAGTTAGCATTTTATATATATTGGCTTAACAGGTGCCACACATGCTACTTAGCGAGCTAGCTAGCTAACTCAGAATCAACTGTGCTGACAGCAGCTAATGAGTTCATTCAGAGTTACTTTCTAATGTTTTATTTGTAAAGATATTCCTCAGGGAAAAACACAAATCTGCAGACCAAAAAGACAGACAATCTTTCTCTGGCTCACACTGCTAGAATCAACACCATGCTGAGTAATAGCTAGTTAGCCAGTTAGGCCACATGACAAGCAGCCTTGTAAAGGTAAATGAATAAACAGATGAGTGTCTGTATGCTGGCTTTACTCAGATTGCAAAATCTGATTGAAACAACATTAAAATGTTGTCACACAGAAGCATTGAATCTACATTGAAATTCAGTATTGAAACCAAAATTATAATTCATGTGAAACAAGATAAGAACTTTCAAACAGAACTTGTAATCTAAAAAGGTAGTTCAAGCTACAGTTTAGCTGATTAAATATTAAAGCAATGTGATTTAGAAAAGCACTGATTCCGCTGTCATCTTAGAGGCAGTCTACAGGCTGGCTGTATGTCATGAAAAGGGATAATATAAAATAGAAGTAGAAGTGTAATTTACAAAATGGTATTATAAAAAAAAAAAGGGAAAAAAACAGATTTTGCAAATTTATTATTATTGTTAATAATAATAATGTTATTGTTAATAAAATAAACAAATCTGCTCCATAAACTTCTTTAATTATTACTTATTATTTGTTTCTTCAGTGTTGACTATTTTCTAATTTTTATGTTGAAATTCTTTTAAAGAAAAATCACATAGGCACCCCTATGGAATATCACCTAAATGTCAAACGATTCTACATTGTATGACCTCTCAACAATTGCTTTAATTCTACAGTGAACTGTAGAGTTTGTGATGTAAAATTAACAGAATAGATGTACCACAAAATGCAACAAAAGTCAGAACATCTTTCACAACTGAGATTGAAATCGATGACAGAATCAGTCCTCCTTCACATGGAGGATACCTGATTTCTGGAGAGATGTTCTTCCATTCTTTGGAGACAGTTTTTTTTCAGCACGTCTTTGTTGCAGGGACTATGTTGCTCTACTTTTTAAAAATATTCTAAAGGTGACCTATTCAGTTTAAGTCTGATACCTGGCTGGGTCATAGTTTTCACTTTTTTCCTTTTTAGAAACCTGTGTGATTTTGGCAGTGTGCTCTGGATTGTTATCGTGCTGCAATGTTCCTTGTCTGCCAAGCTTCTGCAGACTGGGAGCCATCTTGCCAGGCAGTATTTTGGTATATCCTCAGGCATTCATGATGCCATCTATAAATGTCATCTACCCAACACCATTTGCCCTCATGCAGCATCATATAATCACACCTCACTGTCGGGACTATGCATTAACTGTGGCAGTCCAAAGTCAAACAAATTTACTATGGTCTCATCTGACCAAAGAATGGGCTTCCAGTATCTATTGCTTTCTCTCTATCTGCTATCCTGCTATCCCCACCCTCCATCCCCACTCTCACCCAACCCGTCGAGGCAGATGGCTGCCTTCCCTGAACCTGGTTCTGTCTGAGGTTTTTATCCCTCCCCTCCCTTGGGAAGGGGGGTTTGTCTCCTTCCCACCGTTGCAACCGCTTGCACAGAGGGAGTCCAAAAGCAACTTTGCATTGTTGGGTTTTCTGTTTAAATTGGTCTATACCTTACTATGTTAAGCGCTATGTGATGACATATGTTATAAACTGCGCAAGACAAATACAATTGAATTGAACTGAATTCAATATTCATTAGGCTCCTTTTCATGCATTTGAGCAAACTCATCGTGCAGTGTTGTGCAGAAGAGCAAGCAGGGGTGTTTTTCTTGAATGTCATCCACACAGATTGGCATTCTTCTCTGTCCTTTACACTGCCTGAGCTGTCACAGAAACTCCAACTTCCATTGACCCCTGTGCCAAGTCTGGAGTACTGGCCTGTCTGTTTATCAGAGCTGGGTTGTAGCCCGTCTGTGGCGTCATCCTAGGAAGACAACCGCTGCAGATTAGTGGTTCTGTTGCTCATTCTATACCTCATGGTTGTTGCTGCAACAGAGTTTTGACAGATTTTTTTTTTTGTTGTCAATGATCTTATTCTATTCTTTTTTATATTTGTAAAGTCACACAATCAGATTTTTGAATTCTTCTGGATCTTTTTTTTTTTCTCATGTGGAGCTATGATGTAGGAGGACACAGCCCAAAGAATAGAAACTAATTTTATAACCATATTCATGGAAGTAGGCTGATCAGAAATCAGATATGTGCTCAGTTTGGTTTCCGTGGTCATAAGCTGTCTCGCTTTTGTGTCAGTGATCACAAGTTTAATCACTTTCTTGCACCGTATTCCTACTTTGGCCTGTATAAAGTTTTATTTTTCTTTTCTTTGATTGGCCATAAGGGGAAATGTTCTACTCGTACTTAGAAATGTTTGGAGAAGAGGAAATTTGAAGTCATTTCACATTTTAGTGATTTTTCAACAGTGGTTTGCTCATTTTAGTTGTTTACTGTACATTTACATGTTTGCACGGGCATACATTCTACAGACACACATGTATACACATATTTCTAGACTTCCCAAAAGAAGCGATCTTGTATTTTAATGGAACCCTCTTGGCTAAAGTAGGGATATAAATAAATAAGACTGAATAAAAATATAGCTTTTTAAACAATGTACATGATATGCTCAAACACCTACATACCGAAATATCCAGTTTTGCAAAACAACACTAATCATAAAGTTTCTCAAATTCTATATACATATATATTTTGCATAAACACCTGATGTGTGTTTTCTTTCAAAACAGAATCCCAAAACCAGCACCATGCCTGGACTCATTAACAAGGAGAACCGTAGCGCTCTGCCGCTCAGTGTATCTGACATCACCTCTTGTGTCAGGGGTTACACTCTGGCTCTGACCGCTTCTATGACCTACGAAAATATGGATGACCATGCAATCGAGGGTGAGTGAGACTGATTTGTTTACTACAGTAGTGCCATTGCTAGCCACATTCAACCAATTTCAATCGACCACTTGCTCACAAAAACACACTGTTGTAAAATTGATTCTAATGTGGATATGGGCAGTTGCTTTTTTCATGTCTTTTTCTCCCTTACTACCTTTTAGGGATCTTCATTTATCCGATGGAGGAAAATTCCATTGTTGTAGGGTTTGAGGCTATGATATCCAGTCAAATCATAACCCTACAAATCAAAGACAAGGCAAAAATTGATGACTGTTACCTGGATTGCTGCAATACATCTAATGGAGCTCTTCAGAGTGGCAGTGGTAAGATTCCAGCAGCTCTAACCAATATTGTTGTAAGGATCAGATGAGCAACAGTGTAATTTTATAGGTGTTTGTGGTGAAGAAATGACAGAAGAATCAATGAACTCTGCAAATCTCCACCAGTACTGTGTGGCATGTTAGGGTCTTTAAGCTGCAACCCTAGAGTTTGGTTCGCTCCCTCTCAGAAATCCTGTCTCCAATCTGAAAAACGCGCTCAGTACCTCAAGTATTTCTGTATTTCCTGCAGATATTTCCCTCAGGAGTTGGTAGAGGCCAAAACAGAGCTAAAATGAAAGTGAATATTGGCTTTAATTCATCCTGCCCCCTGAAATAAAAATTTAAATTAATGTTAATGCTACTTCAATGTATTGCTCTCACAGGTAGCTGTTGTCTGACACATTTGTCATATCAACTTTTAAGCAAGAAAATATGTCAATGTTGCTGCCTCTAAGTGGCCAAAAAAAAAATCTGTTAACAAGCTTAAAAGACCTATTTGGATTTTACAAATGACTATCTGCCTACTTTTTACAAGTAGCACTACTTAACCTGTGAAATCATGTGAAATACAGAACATATGATGTCTATTGGAGCTCTGTGGGTAGCTTTTAACAGTCAACACATTTAGGGGCTTCACACGTGGATTTGTTAGGAAGAGACATACAATGCATTGGAAATGTAGGATCAAGTTGTGGAGCTTCGCTCATACTGAGAATGAAAAGTTGGGATGTTTTGGACGTCTTCGAGTTTGATCATATATTTTTAAATCGATCTCTCATAGGTCCCATCACTTTCAGTTTTAGATTGCAGTATTGGATTGGACTACACCTTTAGATCTTGTGGTATATTGGTACGCATTTGAAAATCCAACATATTTGGACATAATGTGAACCAAAGTATGGTCAAGGATTTGTTCAATCCAAGTATTTTATCACAGGCAAATTTAGGAACAGTGTATGATATAACAAAAACACTGAAGTATAGTGTTTCACTTAAATAGAATTACATCTTAGAATTACCGTAACTCTAAGAGCAATCTTAATCCTCAGAGACAGCAGTGATAATGAAAGCCTGTGGTCTTTCTTAAGATCTGCTTTTATCTTAAGTCTAGCATTAGGAATGCACTGAAAGCCTTCTTAGGTTGATGTGAAGTTGCTCACAGAGATATAACTGAGGTTTCTACATTCATCAGTAAGAAAGACGTTCTGTGGTAAGAGTGATTGTTTCGGATGGGATTACAATGAAGAGTCGAGGAAGTAATCAGGCCACCAAGATGTCACCTTGACAGCTTTGCATTAGTTTTGTCTCCTACAGAAGCACAATTACTGTGGTGAATGTTTAAAATGAGGTTCTCTGCTGTTCTAATGTGGTATTGTAGGACACATAGTGATGGATGAGGATTTTGAGAGAAAAGTGTTGGTGGTTTATCTTGGGATCATCCCTCCAATGGAGACAGTCCATATTCTGGTCAGTACCTCCTCTGAACTCTCCACTTTGCCCAGTGGAGGCATCAAGGTCTCATCCCCACCAGTGTGCACACCTCGGGTACAGAGAACCATCAACGAGGAGCATGGACTGTCCCCAAACTTCTCCAGAACGTAAGAAAAAACTGACAAAATCATTAAAAAAAACAAAAACAAAACCTTGTTGTTTATTTACAGCACAATAGATTTAGAGTTTAAATCTGGTGTATTCCCAAATCGGATTTGACTCTCTAAACTGTATTTTAACATCCCATATTTGTGTGACTATGGACGAAAACTGGCTGTAACAGCATTTTCTATATTTATGACTTTATTGTTCCACTTATAGGCGGGAAAGACACAACTATGCGTCGAGTCCACACGATCCAACTCCCAACTCCCCTCAGCTGTGGTTGGCTTCACTGCTGGAGGAGGAGGCCATCAACTCAATGGACTATGAGTTTAACTTCCAACTGGAGATACGGGCTCCCTATCTCCTTGCAGGTCAGTGAATTAAACTGGCAAATCCATAAGCATTGCATTTTTTGGAAGTGCTCACATCTGCAACAAGCGGCTGGGAATAATGGAGATTTGCTTTCTAGCTGTGAGTTGCACGAGAAGACCTGATCTGTTAAATATGAAGCCACAGTCAGTAGACAGTTAGCCTAGCTTAGCATAAAGACAGGAAACTGCTACACAGCTAGCCTGACTCTGTCCAAAAGTAGCACTACCTGAAAATCTCAATAACTAGCATGTAATATCTTGTTCAGTTAATCTGAAACCAAAATGTAAAAAGATAAGTTGCATTTTATATGCTGGCTTTGCTAGACTATTTCTTTGCAGAGAGCAGAGACCATAAAGTTGTCAGATATCTAGCAGAGACTCTGTTAGACCTGCTGTTTTCAGTCTTCATGCTCTACCTGGATGTAACTTCAAATTTTATGTATAAGCTGAAAAAAATAGCGATTTAGAAATCTTTTTTAACTGTAATTTTTGTTCACAATTATATTCTTTTTTTCTAGATTGTCTGTGTATTGGTAAAGTAAAGGTAATAACTAGTCAAATGACAGAAAAAAGTAGCTTACATGCTAACCATAAAAAAATAAATATAAAATAAATAATTAAAAAAAAAAAAAAAAAAAAAAAAAACAGGCCAAAATTGTAAATAACATCCACATCAAAAATCTGTATTTTTTTCAAATGGTCATTCATTCTTTTACAATGTTTGACCATAAAATTACAATACATTTACTGTATTTAAATCAGTCCAAGAAAGCCATAATTTTACAGATATTTGCCATTATTTGAAAGAAAAACTATGTATTTTAAGAAATAAAAAATAGCTCTTTTTTTTTTTTTTAACTTAAAGTGTACGTGAAATTGATACCAGTCTTCTCGTGCAGCTCCTGTAAGAAAGCAAGTAAGTGTATTTTCAAAAGTGTCTAGATCTTGTGTAAGTTTGTGCTCATTTACATGTGAGTAAGTGGTTTGCTGTGGCAGTCATGGCTGGAGGTGGAGCCACTTGTTAATCGATGCGCTGTTGATGCTCTGTGTAGGTGTTGAGAGCCCTTCTCATGCCATCAGAGCTGATGCAGACCCTCTGGCCCGCTCTGCCACCAGTGTTGTTATCACTCTGGCTGACAAGTACACTTACGACTACCCTGTCAAAATCCTCATCTACCCCAGCGGTAGGTCCGCCACTTCAAAACTCACTCACAGCACAGCCTTGCAATTAGTCTTTTTCCTGTTTTCAAGTGAAGTAGTCTGAAACAGTTTTTTTCCTCCACCTCTGTCAGAAATTCTTCCACAGCATTGCTTTCCTATGATCAGATCAGTGGTGATATACTGCCTCACTTTTGTGTGAGTCCCTCATCAGGAAAACTGTTAATAATATATGACATGCCAGCCGAGTCAGACTCCATTGTGTGGGTGTGAATTGTCAGGGTTTTTTTTTTTTTTTCTCCTGGTAGGCCTTTCTATTTGTTGCTGCTGTCTTGACCTGCAGTATGTGTGGGCCAGTTGTCTCCCAGAGGCAGGAATGAACCCTGGTCTCACTGATCCAATAGGCCTCTTATGAAGGCTTTGTTCACAAACAGACCTGCGGCCAGTGCCAGGCAATTTAATTCAACCCAGACCGGTGCTGCAATTTCAATCACAACATGGATGCTCAGCTCAAGCAGAGAGATGGAGGAAACGGTGCTGCATTATGGGTCTCCATGAACAATAATAATAATAATAAAAAACAGAATGAAACTGTCTGTTTTCATCAGCAGCTTAGTTGATTAATGGCCACTATTGACTGTGGAGTTTCTGACAGCATCATCAGGTTAAATTTAAAAGTTTCTACGACATTTTAAAAACACATGTAATGCAAATTCATACAGGTTTCACAGTCAAACTGGCCAAAGCATGAACAATAACGTTAAAAACCAAAAGGGATGATAAATGAGTATTAACTTAATTATAATAAACAAAACCCGCATGAGCAGCAGAAAATGGATAAATTAATGAATGGGTGGATTAACTAACAAAAATAGCTAATTAACTGAGGGTCTGCATGAATTTTATGGTCAGACAAAAAAACAGTGCAGTAGTTTTCATTATAATGAGCATTCTAGGACTCTGTTACTGCCTGCAGAAGCCTAAAAAAAATACTTGTAATGAAAAGAAATGAAACACATTTTTGAGAAGGCAGAAATCGATACTTTTAAAGCTTTCTCAAGACCTGCAAATACCCTGCTCAGAAGAGAAATAACAGTCCAAATCCTCAAGATTTACTCCACCCTCTGAGCTCATTTTGCTTTTTGAGGCTGAGCTGTGATACAGCATCTTTAAATGCAATCACCCCTTAATTCTAACATCAATGTGAGATAACTCTGTTTCAGATTACCACACTACCCTTCCCTGTGATGCTGTCGGTTTCAGATATTGTTCAAACATTGTCTGCAGTGTTTATAGTAATGTCTTTGTCCTGACCAACTGTGTTACGTTAGAGCCTCATCTGCCACATGTGCTCATTGAGAATGGCGACATGACACAGGAGGAGTATGATGAGTATCTTCATGGCCGGAGTGATTTCATCAAGGCTACCAAGAAGGACTCAAGCAATGAGAGGAAAGTGAGTGTTTCAACATCAGCACCATGTACCTGAACTGATGACAGCAATATCATACCAAACTCATTTTGAGATGAAAGGCGTACGGTAACATGAACAATCTCTGCATTAAACATTGCTTCTGTGAAGCTGTGTTGATGTTGTCACATCTCTTTTGTTTGGTCGTACATTGCATTATGATGTAATCTAATACACTGATACCACTTACTATGATTTCAGATACACCACAGGGTTGAATTGGCTTCTGTCTGACACAGAAATCAGATTTCTGCAAAGGTTTCTTTATTTGTTTATGTATTTTCTTTGTTTATGACACTTTGCCTATCCTCTGTCAGTCCTTAGTTTTACAAAATGTGAGAACATCTAAATTACTCTTAAAAGTCCATTTTAAATTACATGTTGTATCATTGCACAAAGTTGAGTGACAGAGTTTAAGCTTTTTATGCTGGCTGACAAACTGCATAACAGATTTCATATTTTTCATGAGATTGCATTACCCCGTAGGCTACGACACAAAATGCCAAGAAAATCTGGATATGCCAGGAAAACGGCAACCAAACTGTAACAAAATGTGTTCTTTTAGTTTTATTGTCCATTTTACGTGGTTTAGGAAAGAAAAAACTTTAATTATTTACAGTCCATAGTAATCAGGAATGCTGTTTTTATACTACAAAATATGCCACATAATGTAATCTACAACTGTTTATATACCGAAACAAACACAAACATATTAAACTTATTATTTAATTTACTGAGATGTTAGTTTTTCAAAATGGATTTGTTTTTAATACAGACTTGGAAAAATAAATGTGTGTTTAGCTTTAACTGTGGCTAAGGCTAGCTCTTGCTATCAAACCAGCAAATCTTTTCCCCCCCTGTTAGCATTAACGGCTGCATTTACCTGACTGAATGTTTAAACTAGTTCAGCTTAAGCATTATTTTTCAACCTGTCTGCTTAAACAGCTTTGCAGCATTTAGGTTTAGCTCTAGCTAGCTGTTGCTATCTAATTAGCTAATTAGTGCTTATCTGAGAGTTAGTCAGGTCTTAAAACAATTTTGTTTTTACCAAATTGGCAGTAACAGCTGCATTTACCTGACCGAATGTTTAAACTAGTTCAGTTTGAATATGTTTTTTAACCTGTGTACTTAAATAGCTTTGTAGCGTTTAGCTTCAGCTAAGGCTAGCTGTTGCTGTAACTAGCTAATTAGTGTTTACTTGACGGCTAGTCAGGTCTCACAATCTTTTCTTTTTCTTCTTTCTTTCAATTATGCGGTACTAGCTGTATTTATCTAACTGAATGTTTGAACTGGTTCAGTTTTGTTATTATTTTTCAACTTGTCTGCTTTAATAGCTTTGCAGTATCATTACCATATCTTGTTTGTGTACAAATAACTGCTGTTCATAATAGTTTTTTTTCACAATATCCTCAAACCGTTACTTAAAAGAAATTTCTGATGCTTTCTGAGGTTTGCTTGTAGACATTGTGAAACATTATTTTCCTCATGGTTGTTGTGATGATTATGCACAGTGTTGTTTAATAAATGAAGGGACAGAAGACTTCAATGGCCCTCAGCTAGTTAGTTCTTCTGTTACTACACCCCTGCTTATGCATGTGTCCATTCACATCTCTGCTGTGATGAGGTTGTTAAGTGACCAACGGACCTGAGCAGGAGGAGGAGAGAGAGCACTTAGCCATAAAAAAGGGGGGTTTCTATGGAAACACTCCAAAGGCACACCACATTCTGCCTGCACATCTACAATAATTAATGTGCTCTATCGACTTAATCACTTGTCTCTTTTGTGTCCCCCTTTTTGCGTTTACAAGTGTTGAATTTAAGCCTGTGCAAATTCAAAGAGTTCTGTTATCTCATGGTGTAAGTTCCCCTTAATTCACGCTCATGATTTCTTTTGATTACTGTGTCTTTCCAGGTAGATATAATTCACAAGCGACTCCATAAGGACATCCTCCACAACCCTGTGGTCATGCTGAACTTCTGTCCTGACCTCAAATCTATCTGCTCAGATCTGAGGAAGGTTCACGGTGAATTCATCTTCCTCATTGACCGCAGCGGCAGCATGAGCGGTGTTAACATCAACCGTGTGAAGGTATTTTAATCTTGCCTTGGTGTGTGTTGTTGCAGACATATATGAAGGCACGTGCTGATTTACATATAAATTACACTACATAGCACACTCCAGTTTATAGAGATTTTTTTCGTTAAAAATAATTAAAACTGGCACAAAATGCATCAAAATAGTCAAGTTTTCCAAGAAAATAAATGGAAAGCAACTGCATCAAAGCACGATATGTCATTAGAGGCTGTCTAATTGCTTTGTGGGCTCACAGCCATACTGTGTCTGTGGTCTGTGGAGATAGTGGTTAGCCAGCAGTGAGAAGAGCATGGACACAAGGATATTGATCGGACAAATCATTTACTATTCACTGAACGTCTCCCAATTGCTTATATCAGACTTCATGTGAGCCTCCATCAATACCTGCATTGCTTAATCAGTGTCATTCAAAGTTGATATTTTTTAAAAAATATATGTTTGTATGTTATTTGCCTGCTTGTGCACTGACCCTGCCCTGTGATGTAACACTGGCTGCTGTTCATTTGTGACTCACACTGGGGCTTTTATTGGATGTGTCTGACACTGTGGAGTCCGAGCTTAAGGCCAGGGTCAGCATGACAGTGATTTAATGACTATTTCCCATTGATCTTTCAAGAAATCCTGCAGAATGCTGTTATAAAGATCTGGAAAACTGGAATCGTACACAGTATATATTTTCATTGTTAAAGCAACTGACCAGATATTTTGTTATGGATTGTATAACCAATGTGTTGTGTTTTTCGCATAGAGGTTGAGATAAGTGTCAGTCTTGTAAAAAAATAAAAAATAAAAAATTGCCCCTCAGCTGCAGAAGAGACAGTGATGGATGAAATAAAACTGCAGGATGCCACTCTCCATTCACTCCTCTCCTTGAGAAAATTTGCCGTGACAGCCGTGTAGAGCACCGTGCTTCCATTCAGCCACACATTTACAGATGTAGCTGGATCCACCGTCCATTAAGCACCTAATGAGCAGAAGAGTTTTGCCTTTAATTTTTTAATTTCATATATCAAAGTCTTTGTTCAGGATCTAAATGTGCTATTCTTCTCAGGATGCCATGGTGGTTATACTCAAGAGCCTGGTGCCTGGCTGCCTTTTCAACATCATTGGCTTCGGATCTACTTTTAAATCGCTCTTCACAACCAGCCAGAACTATGAAGAGGTAAAATAGCTCTGTATAATCAAAGCGCCACTTCACTTTATTAGTCATGAGTAGTTCAACTCAGACTGTTGCTTTGGATGGAGAAAAATATCTTGTTTGTCTGGAGTAAAGAAGGAAATAGTGTTACACAACAGACCACATTAGAGATGTACCAATTCGATATTCAACATCAGGATTGGGATCAATATTTTAACGGATCGGTATCAGCACAACCTAAACCCAATCCTTTGTTTACGTCTCCTGTCACACAAGTGTCGGATGCAAATTTGGAATATTTTTAAATCAAGAATTGGCAGCATTTTCAATTAATAACCAATTTATTTATATTAATATAAAATTGATTAGCTTGATCCTAGCTCATCTTAAACACATTAGTTTCGGCCAGTCAGCATCAAACATCGCAGAAGTCTCTGTCATGGTGCCCATTGCTAGCTAAACCCTCACAGTGCTCTCTGTTTTCCATCTCTGAACTGCCTGTAGTCTTCCCCTGCCAGTACAACTAATCTCCAATACATTTTCTGTGAAGCCACAGTACAAGCTATCCGACACCTATGTAACATTAGAGTACAGCTTGGATGCAGATGTGCATTTTTTTTTAAATGTATTGCAAAGGGTTGCGGGTGACCTGAAGCCTATCCCAGCTGACTTAGGGTGAAGGCAGGGGACACCCTGGACAGGTCACCAGTCTATCACAGGGCTAAACTTAGAGACAGACAACCAAGTACAGCATTACCAATTAACCTCAGCATGTTTTTGGACTGTGTGGGAGAAAGCCTGAGAACCCAGAGAGAACCCACGCTGCACGGGGAGAACATGCAAACTCCATGCAGAAAGATCCCAGGTGTCCTCACCGGGACGTGAACCGGCGACCTTGCTGCGAGGCAACGATGCTAACCACCGGAGACACATTAGCATAGTGAAAAGCACTGCATCATATACAGCCCCAAACAAACAACACAAACAATAAAGATTCAGCATGATTCACACTAACAGTGGTTTCTTTAACCACAAACATCACAGGTTTCTTTTTTTTTTTTCTTTCTTTCTTTTTTTTTTTTTTTTACAATTATTCTATGTCAGTTTGCAGTTTTAGTTTGGAAAGCTCTTGATACAACAATCCAAAGTGACTTGTGAAATCGTTACTTGTAAACACAAAATGTTATCCTCACAAGCAAACTGCAACACGAATCATAAAACAGATACTCATTGCTTTGGATGCACCTCATGTTAGTTTCAGTGCTTATTACTGACTGCACAGACCTCTTAATTAATACAATCCTTATTTTAACAACTTGATCCTGGTAAGTGGGACTGTAGCACAACTACTAATTACTTTGTAACACGTGCCATTTTAAATGTATTGCAGTAATGAAAAGAAAAGACAAAAAGATGAAAAGAGAAAGAAAAGTAATTAGTTTCCCTTTGATTACATTCATAACGCGTGTAGGTATAAATTAGGGTTTAATTTTGCACGCATTCCATCGTTTTAGTATTATTGCTCACTGCATTTTAATTTGATTCCGTTCTGTTTCACTTATATAAAATCAATTTACAACATAAAGCCCCTGTTAGACATGCATTACTTTCTATTAATCTGACAGCAACTCAACATCATTTTAATTTCTAAATGAGCATCATGGTCACAAAGCAATCGGCAATCGTATTAGGTTGTAAATGTACAATTCCATATCACTTTCAAAAAGTCCGAACTGCATGCAGCCACATTAACATACACGCAAGCAATGCGCTTTGAGTTGTGTGAAGTGAGTTACGAGCTTTTTCCACATGTCCACACCAATTTTGGTCAATAAACATCACAGCAAATGTTAAAAACACCATTTGAGTATGTTTGAATAAAACTTTAAGGAACATTAAAAGTGATGTATGTCTGATTTACAGAATGCTGGCACTTTGACTAATGAAGTGTTTTGTACGCCAGCTCAGGGCACTTCACATAGTAAGACCCCAAATTCTACAACATAGGGAGAAACCCTATGAATCCAAAGATTCCTTTTGAGTAAGCTCTTAGTGACCGTAGAAAGAAGAAACCTGCAGCCGAACCAGGCTCGGGGAATGCAGTCATCTGCCTTGACTGGTTGGGGGGAGGATCCAGGGGAGAGACCAAAGGAAAAAGGCAACAAAGACAATAATAACCACTGGACAGGTTAATCACAGATCAGAAACATGTAGCGCTGGACACACAGATACCCCCAGAGAAGACAAAAGCACAAACTACTGGGGAAAAAAAGACATCAAGTTATTGACAATTATGATATGTATACATAGAAAGTGAAAAAGAGGAGAGTAGATGTTAGGTACCCCGTGCACAATGGAAAGCCAACCAGCAGTCTTAGCCTCTAGCAACACAACTAACGGATGGATTAGGGTGACCTGAGGCAGCCCGAACTATAAGCTTTATTGACAAAGAGTTTGAAGCCTGATCTTGAAAGCAGAGACTATGTCTACCTCCTGAACCCAAACTGGGAGTTAAGTCCACAAAAGAAGAGCCTGAAGCCTCTGCCTCCCAATGTGATGTTGAAAATACTGGGAACAAGTAAACAAGTCCAGGGTCACATTTTAGAGAATTGTTAGTTTACATTGAAAGATCTAAAGTTTGGTGTCTTGATTTACTACATTAGGGTTGACAAAGAAGAAAAGTAAACAGATGGACTTGAGTAATTAAGTCTTGTATGAATATGAATATCTATAAATACAGAAACAGTCTATAAATGCTGAAATAAGATTTACATGTGATTCTTATTCGTTGATGTTTCAATGTTCAAACTTCACCTTTTTTCCCTCAATGCAATTCGTATTATCTTGAGGAATGTTTGGTATGACTGTTGCAGGCACCATTTTTGAATCATTACCATTTTGTTTTGAAGTGCAACTATGATTTTAATTCAGGGATGAACCCACTTAATGTTGTGAAATCAGGTTGCACATTACTGCTTGACATATTACCTAATTTAATACAACACCTCCTCATCTTCGTGATCCAGGAGGCCCTAGCCCTGGCTTGTGAGTATGTCAGAAAGATCAGAGCTGACATGGGGGGGACCAACATTCTGGCACCGCTCACCTGGATCCTGAGGCAGCCGGTGTTCAGTGGACACCCCCGCCTGCTGTTTCTGCTCACAGACGGGGCCGTCAACAACACAGGCAAAGTTATTGAGCTGGTTCGCAGCCATGCACGCTACATCAGGCAAGTATTACTGTTAAAACACTCTGCTAGAATGTTACATCAATACTGAGTGACATTGTTGGGGATTTTGTCAATATTGTATGACAGCAACCTTTGTTGTTAGAGCTCTTTGGGCTTTAAACATGTTACACAACGACCCATTTGATGCTAACTGTGATTCGTACCTGCAGACATTCAGTAGAAAGGCTGACATGAAGAAGGGAGCTGCTTGGCAGAGAAGTTACTGTACATTGTACATACTAATGGAAATTAATTCATCTCCTGGCTATGCTCATTATGCAGATAGGAAATGCAAAACGCCTCTGATAACATAAAATCACATCTCCAGTTTGCCAGGGAGCTTAAATGCAACACCTGGTTATGGAGCAGTAATCCTCTTAAAATGAAATCCGGGAACATGCAGCTTATGTTGAGTCAGTGTCAAACATTATATATCGCTGCAAAGAATCTATCAGAAAGGCAGCATTTGTGCAGCCTCGATTTGAGATTAAAAAATGCCAACGCCGTGTTAGAGCTGGAATAAGGAAATAAGAAAACTCCCAGCGGAACACCAGCTGTCAAATAAGAGAGCGCACCAGTGGCACAATAGGTCTGCAGCACACTGGGGAGTTTTTTTTGTTTTTTTTCTGCTACTTGCATCTAAATCTCACACTGTGAATTGCTGTCCTGAGTCACTTTGGAAATAATTGACTTTAGTCTTCCCCCTTTTAATGGATGGCTGCCCCCAGATGATTGCATTAAATAAATCATCAACACTTCCTGGGTCATTATCACACTATGTTTGCAAATCAGTGCTGCCAGTCAGACACAGGATAAAACAATTCTGAATCTCTATTCAGCTGCACTGTAAAAACTGAATGTTCATTTTGTTGAACATTATTTCATTTTGATTTTCCCTGTTTTGTTACATCGCAGAGAATAAAATCACAGAAAAAAATATTTTCATACACGTGTAACCCTAAAAAAATGGGACAAATGCAATGGAACAAAGCTGGTGCAACGAAATGAACCTCTGTTTAAAAAGGAATCACAATGCTAAGATAATAAAGCCTCAGCCAACTTCACTGAAGAGCCCTGACAAGCAGCAGGCATCTCTCTGCTTTTAACTATAAAAGAAAATGTTGTTAGATCTCTGCAACGTATCTTTAATTGTCTGCAAAATGTGCGCACATCCTGAGAAGACACCTGTTGTCATGCTCATGTATCTCTCAAACTGTCCATGGACTGCAGTGTTTAATGTGTTTGTGCAGATGTTTCACGTTCGGCATAGGACACAATGCTTGCAGGAGGCTGGTGCAGGGAATGGCGACAGTTTCCAAAGGAACAGCAGAGTTTCTGGTCGACGGAGAGAGGCTGCAGCCCAAGGTACTCATTGCAAAGCTTTGTGTATCACTCTTAACAACAGCCAGCCATTCTGAGGGCCACTGGAGGGCCATTATACAGTGGTTTCAAAGAGTTGAGGGTTTGCCACTGGTACCAATTAGGAAATCATATCTCAGAGATGCCATCCATTTTATGTACTTGTCAGATAGAGCTGTGTTTTATATATAAAGGCCTGTTTTAGTTGCTTTGTTTTACTCCACAGATGATAAAGTCCCTGAAGAAAACCATGTCTCCCGTACTCAGCGACATCTCCATTGAATGGCTCTTTCCTGAAACCAAAGAAGTGCTGCTCTCCCCTGTGGGCAACACCTTCCTGTTTCCAGGGGACAACCTCATCGGTTACAGTGTGGTTTGCGACGCCACCCGGTACCACACCAACCCCAAATCTGTAAGAAACCTGCCGAAAAGTAACAAACAACTGCTTGTATAATGACTTTCTGTGTTGTGAACGTTTCAAAAAAGGAGCCCTTAAATTACACCCTGGAGAGCTTGATAAATCCTTTAATCATTTCCACTTAAATCACTTCTCTGGTGCTGCTGAAAGGGGTTTGAAATAAATCTTAAGGGAGATGAAAAGGGCTACTCCGAAGTGGCTTTTTATCAAACCTCGTGAATGGGTCTTTATTGAAGCACTTATTTCAAATGTTGTCACCTACTCAAAATCTCGACAGGATAAGAGGAGGCGATACAGCATGATGCGCTCCATTGAGTCCGCCAGCTCAGTGTTTTACCACTCTCAAGAAGAGGACTTGCTGAAATCTGGCATCGACAGTCAGGGCTCCCACAGGGAAACACCTTCTGGCACTCTGTACGACTCCTACCAGGACTCCGTGACAGACAGCAGTCCTCTCCCCACAGAGCCTGACACCATGGGTAAGAAACTGACACTACATATGACTGTAATCTGTCTTAATGAGGAGATTTACATTTTCATATATTTGGAAAAATGTGTGTCTCCTTGCCTCTGCAGTTTGCTGTAGCCTCTGGCATGTTTGTGCACTGATAGGTGGAACTGTTATTTTTTTTTAGCCCCAATACATAGTTGTGTGTTCTTTATTTCACCACTGTGGTCCAGGCTGAAGAATTTGGTAGATGATTGACATGAAATTACATAAAGTTTTTCATGGCTCCCAAAGCATCTGTCCATATTGAATTTGGGGATCTCTTGACATTTTTCATCTCGTACCACTATGAGGCTTATTTTTCTGGTTTTAAATGAAATATCTTGACAGAAGTTGGATGGATTACCATAAACTTTATTGGAGACATCCATGGTGCCCTGAGGATGAATTTTAATACCTTTAGTGTTCCCTTAACTTTTCATCTGGCACCATCATCAAGCCCAAGGTGACAAGAAGAGCACGCTAACACACTAGTTTTAGATGATAAAATGCTAAACATCAGCGCGCCAGCATTGCCCCGTAAGAATCCTGTCATGCTATTGTCAAGCACTATTGTCAAGTAAACCCTTACGGAGCTGCTGGTTTGTCTGTTGTACAGCTGTGGTTTCAGCTTGTAAAGCAGTGTTCACAAACAACTGCAAAGTGCACTTGTAAATCAACCTTTGTGTACATGTAAAGTTTAGTCTTTAAGTTTGTGTGTGGAAAATATGTGAATTGGTAGAAATTAGTAATATTTGTCCAAAAAATTGGTCTTTAAATGCTCAAAATCTGACAGACTTGAAGTTCTTTTCAATCAAAACTATGCTTTTGGAAGGGCGAAATGAAGCGCTTTATGCACAACAGCTGTTTTTCTCTGTTCAGGAAAGCAAACAGCAGCAAAGCTGTGTGGAAGTGGGCATGTCGAGTCAGGATTCAAAGGCTTTTTTGTCATATGCAGCAATGACATGTCATCAGTGCAATGAAAAAGCTTTGTTTGCATTGTCCTTGCATAATGCCACACTGAACATATTGACAGAACACAGTCATTCATCGCTCTGAATGAGACAGTTATTGGATATAGAAGAACAATGCCAATGAGTATGTCCAGGAAAACGTTGCAATAATGTGCAATATTTATGTTGCAAAATAGGGTATTTGCAGAAGAACAGAATAAAAAAAATGTATATTAATTGTCTGACTTAAATATTTTTATTTTTGAAAAAAAAAAAACAGGTTTTGATAAGACATCACCAAGAAGGCGTGCGTACAGTACCAACCAGATCACAGACTACAACCCAGCCAAGAAGGTCTACACTCCCAGTGACCCCAGCTCCGTGATGACAAAGAATCCACTGAGGAGAGCCAAAGTTCAGGAACTGATCGGCCAGATGAGCCCTGAACACGAGGTGCAGTGGAAGAATGACTACCAGGTGAGATTTAGTGAGCAAAATATTTCTGATTCAGTGTGTAATGGTGCTGCAGCTCACATGCTGTGAGTTTAATGTGTTTAAACCGCACAGAAAGTAACCCACAAAAGGCAGGAGAATCTCAATTTGTATAATAATAGCGATGTCAAGCTGTCAGACGTTGTTGACAAATTAAACATCTACCTGACCCGTGTCAGGCCTGGAAAATAATCAAGAACAGACTAATGTGCCCTCCTCAGTAATGAAGGGCAGCATCTATGAATGGCAATTAGGGGTGAATATTACTCAGAGAGCAGGTTAGTGTAACTAAACAGAATGTTAAAGCCTGTGAAGAAATTATATCTTATTTTATAAATGCAGCTGAGGATCCATTCCATTCTTGTTTGATTGAATAAGTAGATACAAAGAGTATTTTATAAAATGCTGCAACGATCTAAAGGCTTTTACTCTTCTCCTTAGACCCCAAAGAGTCCTTTTAGTGCACTGCTTCAAATTATTTTATTCTACACAGCACAAAGTGAACGTTTGCAGCTTGTTGTGTTTAAATTTTTTGGTCTCCTCATCAGTCAAAATGACAAATGCAATTACATCATCTTGGTGTTTTTGAGACTGTGATGGATAGCTTTGCTCAGATTTCTCCATTTTATAGACATTTTCAAAACAAGTAAATGACCTCCAGTGTAAATGACAGTTAAATAATTTCAGAATCCTTATATCATTAATCACTTGAAAGCACAATGAACTCTGAGCCTGAGTGACCACAGAAATGAGCAGAATTGCGATTAGTAGATGAACTTCCATGTGTTATTAAACCTGCGTTATCACCAGGGTACTTTGAATTAAAACACTTTCTATTGCATCCCACCACAGCTGGCAAGCCTGAGCGCCACATCGTCCAGAGGGCGTGCTGGCAGCTGTCACAGGTCCCTACCTCAGCAGGAGCCGCCTTTGCAGCAGGATGCCAATTCCGACGTTCATTTTCATTCGCAACCGCAGGACAATCCTCCGCCAGGCGGCAACAGCGTCTCGCCCATGACTTCCAACGCTCCTGGCGAAGATGGATCCAGGTCATCCACAGACAGCCCATCTGTTGGCAGCGTCGGGGACACAGGTGAGAACACAAGCACAACCATTTTGTGATAATGAAGAATGGACTGAAAAGGAAGAAATTCAACATTTTAAAGTTGGTCAGAGTCCATGTTTTGTTGATAATAAATGTGTTGCAGTGTGGAATTAAAGCAGACTCAGTGGAACTGATCAAGGTTGCTGCTGCATGAAATAAACAGTTTTGCATTTCTGATTCGCCGTAGACATGACGATTGACCCTGATAAAAATAGTGTCTATTAAAACCACTCATTCCTGTCTGAAAAAATGATCTTTTTGTTGTTTTTTAACATCGAATCTTGGTCCATTTAATTAGGCTTTTCTGACAAGAAATGACAAAACTCTTTGTACAAATGTATTTTAAGAGAAAAACTTCCAGAAGGGTAAATACTTATTATAGGGTACTGTAATTTAGCATTTTTGGAAATACCCTCACAATATTGTTGTAAGTCAGATGAGAAGCATCACTGGAATGTCAATATTAAGCTACAGCCGATTGCTGGTTAGCTTAGCTTAGCTAAGACTAAAACTGGGTTAAATGGCTAACGTGGCTTTAAAACAACCCCATAAAACTCAATTATTTACATGTTGTATCTATTGAAATGTAAAAACGCCATGTTATAGCATTATGGGCCAAATTCATGTCACAGAGATCGCTTGTTGTTATGCTAACTTAAACTAACTGTCCGATTAACAAATAGGCTGTAATGACCCAAAACCACAAATAGATGTATTAAATCTGGAGCACAGGAAATGTATTTCTATATCTGGGGACAAAACAGAAAATTGTCTTGGAGATGAATTAGAAACAAAAGAGGTAGCATTTTAGAAAACAGTTATTAGTTGAAGTGCAATTCAAACAGGTTATATGGAGAGAGAATGGAAGCAGGAGATGAATTAATTTAATACAAATGTAGTTCAAAGTGCCAGGCAATATGTTGAAGGAAAATAAGAACGCAACACACGGTCTGATTCAAGTATCATATTTTGCTCCTGCGATATTTCAGATGGCTATGGACACCAATTATGTCAAGCAGAAACGCCGCAGGAGACCCTAATTTCAGATCTGGGTGCTGCCAGCCAGCACAACGGGGACTGCAAGGCTGTGGTTTCTGGACTGCTGTGCGGGAAACCGATGAAGTGGGAGGTGGTCTTTGATATCAAGCCCTTCCTAAATGGCCGGGAACGTGAGGAAAAGGTTCATGAGGAGCTTTGGAACGAGACCTTCCACCACCTGGCTGGACGCTCCATCATACAGGACTTCGAGCACATGGCGGATAAGGAGTGTGAGATTGAACACGGTGAGCTCAAGTTGATGATGAAGAAACTTTAGGAAATTACAAGACTAATGTCAAAGGGTGATATTAAACTGTCTCTTAGCTGTTATTGAAATTGTAGACTTAACTTTAAATAGTTTGATATTTTGGCTTAATCATATTATTAGAGAGAAGCGATACCATTATCTTATCTGTCTGCCAAATACAAAGCTATCCCTAACACCTGATTAGCTTAGCTTAGCATGAAGACTGGACAAAAACAAATTTATACAAACAAGTCGCACGTCAAGAACTTAAGAGATGCTCTTTGGTGGATTTTGTTCCCTTTGGATGGAGCCAAGTAAGCTGTTTCCTTGAGTTTCCAATCTTTATGCTAAGCTAAGCTAACAGATATGAGAGCCATATCAATTTCCTCTTAATGAGAAAGCAAATAAAAACATTTCATGATATGTTATGCATGATTCATCTATGAATTATATATGTTTAGAATAATATTATATTATGAACTATGATGGAATCCTATGATGTGCTAATCATTTTGTGTTTATTGTGATTTACAGGGTCTGGCAGGAAATACCAGTTATATGCTATTCACACCAGCAAAGCCTGCAATATACTGAGCAAATACACAGCCTTTGTCCCCATCGACCTGGACACTAATGAGTATTTGCAGACACATATTGACTACATAAACCCTGGTAAGTAATATGGCTTAAATGCGAAGAGGTTTATATATATATGATATGATATATAGGTTTGTATATATTAGATGAGAAAGTCGATGCCACTCTCGTGTCTCTTCACAGGAAGGGAACAGAAAACCTAACTCTGTCCAAAAGTTAGGAAATATGGTGACCAGCACAAACTGAAACTCACTAATTACATCTTTAAAAGCCTAAACAACTACAGTAAATGATTACACTTTAGAAAAATATTATTTTTGAATTAGTTTTAATGATCAACTAAACATTACAGTAGTTACCCCTCTACAGTGTGTTGCATGTTTGAAAAGCAAGTTATCTTTAAAGAAAATGCAAAAGTACAAAATTTATCAGAGCCAGAAACTGTATGAACAGAAAGAATCTCTGGATTTTCAACTTTCTCAATAACCCTTAACTACTGATAGTTACCATTCTGTCTAAAACTTGACTAAACCAAAGCTTAAAATCCTGATATTTTCTAAAAGTCACTGTATTCTACATGTCTTTTCGAAAAAAAAGTGACCAAAAATAAATCATTTGCATAGATTATGTAAATAATATAAAAATTCTGTGCTCTTCAACATAGTTGTGAAGCTATTAGCGACTCAGCGACTGTGGAAAATCCAGGAATTTCAGATGAAATGTTAGGAATTTTTCAGCTGAACTGCAGGCTGTGTTCTCAAAGGGTTCAGAGAGGTAAATTAAGCAAAAATAGCAAATAATCTCTGCTTTGAGCTTCTAAAATATGAAAGTTTTGTGCTTTTCTCTTATTGTGCTTTTTAAATATAGTTTAAATCAAATGTTTTAGTTTTGGAGTGTTTCTTATATGAATTAAAGAATTTCAAAGAGCCACCCTTGACTCAAAACTTGCAATAGGAAAAAATATAATAACTTAATGCATACACGCAGAAATGTAGAAAAAGTGATGACTTAATTACACAAAATTTTAGGTCTGGCTATATTCCAAATCCAAAATTGTTTTAATCAAGACATTGTGCAGCACAGGCCCAAGCCAGCTTGAAAACTGCTTATAATTACATTTTGTTTTCAGGTGAAGGTCTGAAGAAAGGCTCACACTCCAGCTCTCGATCAGGGAGCAGGAAGAACAAAGGCTACTCCATTGGACTAGGTCGCTCTCAGTCTGGTGGCATGTCGGAGGAAACAGAAGATGTCCTGATACCCAACAGTAGGCTGTTGTTATTCTTAGCTCATGTCAGTCCCTGTGAGGAGCTTTAAATCCTAGATCAATAACCAACAAGGAATGCGGGAGGAAGAAATAAATAAGAGCTATAGAGGAAAGTAGAGGAGGTCTTTTATTGAATACGAAGTAGTGAGTATTCAGTCAGAGGAATGCCATTCTTTGAGGAAAAGGTGATATGAAATTGATTTTTCTACATTTGTATATGAATTCAAACCTGCCTGTATTTGAAATGTAAAGGTTGCAGCCTTACGTCATCGGCTTTGTTGGAAAGCTGTGTACTATATTAAAAATACTCCAACTTTAACAAAAGGATACATTTGGAACCTCTTTTTCAGTGGTGGCATAGCAACAGCCAGAGCGAAGACCAGCACTGTGATCGAGCATCTGCCAGTTTAATAAGAAGGTGCTCACTGGGCATGATGCAGATGAGTTGTATCTGTATCATTAGACACAACTGTCAGAAGAATGTCTTGTTAGATTTGGAATGATGAAAACAAAATAAAGGAAAGCTGACAGTTCAGTTTAAAACTTTTTCATCATTATCTCAGGTGCAGAAGATGCTGCCTCTCCATGCAGCACACCCTCCTCCTCTGGCTGGGAGAGGTGCAGCTTCACAGAGGGTAAGTTTCACATGTTGGCCAGTTGTCTAATTTACTGCGTCTCCTTCATTTCCCTTCACAAAGAGCTTTGACATAAACTGCCCGGCAGTCTATTTTCTAAGCAACAGAGTGGCTTTTTTACCAAATGCGAAACCTGAGATTATTGACTTTTTTAGTCCCTCTTCTTTGTAGTGATGACAGAAGTCAACACGATTTTGTAGATTGTATTGACAAAAGCTGTCTGGACCTTTTTTTTAAAAACAAAACAAAACAATGAGTACATACTGAAGGCATATAAGCAAACAAGAAGGGTTTTACCTGGACAGGCGAGACAGCTGCTGGAGTATTCTGCATGTGTGTTTTTTTTCTTTATCATATGACAGTCATGTTGAGAGCTAAACGTGTCGAACTCTGTCTCTGCCTCTCTGTCTCTAAGTCTACCAAAGGAGTCCATCTGTGACCTCTGACCAATCACAGAAGTCTGTGGAGAGTCTTTTTTCTGCTAGGTGGGTGATTGGTGGCTGAGTGGCAGCACTGCATGACTACAGAATTATTCCGCTGCCTCACAGGGAGTAGAATATTTTGAACATCTTCATCTTTATCCATTTCTGTCAGCTGATTTTGACTTTTAGAACATGCAGTCTTGAGGTTAATGCATCAGGATAATGCTGGAGCCATCATTCGCTGTGAACATGTAATGCTTAATTACAACTTGATTTCCCCTTAATAACAAGACCAAGAGTCATGCTAGCAGCACTTTGAGGATAGAAAATGACTAGTTTGTTTGATGTCTGGCAGGATGAAAAGTTGTGCTAATGAAGGAAATAAAGTGGTGAGTGGTTAAAAGTAGCTAAAAATTGGGCATGATGACACATATTTTCTGATATTTTTCAGATATTTTTCTGTCCTGGAACTGTTATAGTCTTGCATTCCATTGGGAAAAATGACAAATAGATGAGTGAAAAAGAAAAAGAGAATCCTGCTCACCTCTGCACAGCTAGGTAAAATTGCAAAATCATAAAGTTAGAATTGTGTGAAGTTCTAATTCCCACTAAAGTACAGCTGAGGCTGATGGAAGTGCAGTTTTCAAATTTTTTTTTCCATCAGATACTGCATGACTGAACAAACTGATGTGAGAAATGGTGACGACGCTAGATGAAAAGTTAAAAAATCACTAAAGTTACTGCAGGAATATGAACATCTGTAAGTCAGGATAAGATGAGATAGGTTAAATTATGTGTATCTGTACAAGATAGAATCTTATTCATCCTGAAGGAAATTCTTGTGACAGATATTAAACAGAAAAAAATGACATTACATGAGAAAATTCAGGGCCTAATAGAAAAAGCAATCAGATAAAGGTATGATACATTAATAAAAATACAAATAAGCAAATTAAAAAAGACAGGAACGAGTAATGCTGATAATAATACTAAAGTAGTAAAGTGATATTTCACCTGATATCAAAATATTGCACATGAAGTTGAAATATTATGATACTGAATTTGATATTGCACAAACTATTGGAAGAATCAATATTGCAAATATTATTGCTATTATTGTTTAAATTTAACTTAAATTTAAATTTCACAGCAAATCCATCATATATTTGTTGAGGGTTTGACAAAACACTCGTGCTTCAGTCATCTGAAGGCTTTAGGGTTTATCTTTAGGGCACCAGGCATGTTCTGCAGAAGACATTCATAATCTGTACACTTTCATGTCAGTCCATTCAATGATTGTCTGAGTTATTTCAGTCATGACAAAGGGCGAGACTGATGACCTTTCCATCCCCCAGTGCCATACTGGTAGCATGGCTAAAAATCCAATCAGGTGTAGAAGAGCATTAAAGCAAACGTGTTGCTTGTCTATCCTGATAGGAGCAGTCTGTTGAATCTAAAAGTGATGTGTGCCACACGTAGTGCAACGCTGTGATTAACACCTGCACCCCTTCTCCCCTCTGTCAGGTTGGCCCTCAGCAGGACTCGTCTCCTGACTCGAGCTGCCAAAGGATTCATGTGTCGATCTCACAGCAAGTCGGGTGATTCAATTGGAGAGAGTGACAACGAGAACAAAGACTACATTCCTCTGGTGGGGAACACATTTATACATGTGAATGTTCTGTCAGGCTGCATGCCTTTTTGATGGAGACTAATTTGAAGTGAGTATAGATCAGTCTGTAGAGACAAATGTGTCACGGCCTTTTGAGTTAGAGGGTGTGTGAACAACACGCAGTGGTTAGTCTAATTTGTTCTGAGGCCTCAGCATACCTCCATCTTTGCAAATTAATTTAGTCTCTCTCAAAAAAAAATGGGATAACAATAAAAATAATACAAAGATGACAAAAAAGCACTGGCTACCATCTGTTTTATGAGTCATACTGTTCATGCTCGGATTAAAAACGAATTACTATATAAATAGTGTTTTGCTAACATATTTAACAATAAATACCACAATAGTCAGTTGATATTTCACTGATAAGAGTATCCTAGATAGATCCTGGGAGTAGTTCTATAAACTATGCAACAATTTCATTTTTTCTTTCCAAAACTGGTGTAATAGCAAACCACACATCTGCCTCTTTTCTGACTTGGAAAATGCATTTCTAGTGATGGATTAATAGGCTGGAGACCTGTCCAGGGTTTCCCCCACCTTCGCCCTAAATCGGCTGGGATAGGCTCCAGCCCCCCTGCCACCCTAGTGAGGATTAAGCGGTGTATAGATAATGGATGGATGGATGGATGGATTAACAGGGCCTAAAGCTACAACTCATCACTCGGTTAGCCGAGATGTTGAAGTAGGCTTTAATTATGCCACACATACCACCTTGACAATGTGTTTTCATCACTTTCCGAATTCAGAGGGAAGAAAATATCTGTAAGAAATGAATAGCTACAGAATAAAGGATACATAGAATAGTTGTCAAAGAAAAGATTTTCACTTTCCATAACAATGAGGAACCCTTTTGAAAGCCAGCTCACAACAAGCTTTTGATTGGAGCAGGAAATGCTGACTTTTGTTCAAATATGCTGTGCAGTGCAGAAGAACAGCATCAATTCAAAACTGTTATTCAGGTGATCTCCCACTTCTTATTTTATTTCTATGCAAAATAATAATTGAAAAAAACCTCACACATTGCAAGCTGAAAATCAATTTACAATGAGCGCTCGCTGAGCAGCGCCACCACACTGCTTATAAAGGCTGAAATAAAAAATATACAAAACTCACTTTCAGGTTGAACGGTAACAATTTCCTTCTGTGCAGGTCATGTTGCAGTTAGCTAGTGGGGCATTTCCCCTGGATGCAGCCCTCTGTGATGCCATCAGTGTACCCATGGACAAGTTAAAGTGGACGTCCCCCTTCACCAGCCACCGCACCAGCCTGGGCCACCTGTCTCACTCCAGCAGCCGCCGCACAGAGAGTGCCGATGGCGGCTCCAGATCGCCGTTTGAGCCAGAAACATTTCAGCAACCTGCAGAGCACACTGCAGACGTCTACAGCCCTTCTCATCTGTCCAGGAGCGCCTGGGCGGATACTGGCCCCTCATCGTTAGCCAGTCCATCCCCCGCTGCCGAGCCCCCGCTCTCCCCACACTCCCACACGGACAGTTCGCGCAGCTCTGGGTCAGGGGGCTCGGAAACGGCATCGCCTGGCGGAGTGCTAAAGAGGATGCTGGATCCAGAAAGCATGGTTTGGGCCACAGCAGTGGCCCTCGCCTGGCTGGAGCACAGCTCTGCCAGCTACTTCATAGAGTGGGAACTGGTCGCCGCCAAAGCCAGCATGTGGCTGAGTGCGCAGGACATCCCAGAAGGCCGAGATCTAGCCTCCATCAAGGCTGCTGCCAATCAGCTCTTCATCATCCTCAGACACTGGGATGAAAATCTGCAACTGAACATGCTGTGTTATAACCCTAACAGTGTCTGAGGCCTGTGAGGTCAAGACTGATGCAGGCCGCTCAAAGTACTCAATCCCATATGATACTATGCTAACTGAGGCTGTACTATTCTCTGTTCAGCAGTATGTCCTCTGGAGTCTGATTTTGCAGTTGTGAACAGTGTGTATTTCCTATGTTTGTGTGCTGTTCCTCCAAACATATCACAGGCTCTGCAAGCTATTACCTCGCTGGTGCCATATACAGTAGCTGAATCTCTGTTAGCAAAGGAACCTACCAGAGTTATGCCACAGATATGAGTTTTAAGGAGAAGAACGTCAGTGTTAAATTCATAGCATGCTGGACCACTGACCATCAACATGTGAGAAAAGCTCTTACTGTCATCATATTGATGTTATGGGTAGAATTCTACAAAACAATGGTAAGAGAAAACTGTTCCACTGATTGTCACACATTGTTTTTACAGCATTTTCTGAATTGACTGTTGTGTGGAAACAAAATGTGATAAAAAAAACAAAAAAACAAAACAAAAAAGCAAAAAAAACAAAAACATCCGGGTATTCACTAGTAGTACTGCCACTCTTTTCTAATGCCTGTTACCATCACAGTGTTATTCCTATTTGCCATTTTTTGCAGTTTAATTGTAGCAGAGACAGAAAAATATGCAAAAAGCTAAAGAAAATATAAAACACGTTAACATTTTATTAAAAAAAACAAAAGGTGGGAATCTATGAATGTGTATCCCACAAGCATGAGTTCACTGTTTATTATTTAATGATATATACAGTTTATAGTTTTTCACTTATCTGAGTATATCTGTTTTCGAGTAGAACTTCTGATCATGCATCATAGTTTCATGAGCCGGCTGCACCAGCAGTTTGTAAGTTCAAAATTAGCCTGTTTATGAGCAAAGGTTTTACTATGTTTATGGGTATTTACACTCATTTAAAAGGAGCTGCGCTACACAAACTACTCTTTACAAAGAGTTTAGTTGTTTCTTAGTATTTGCACCCTGCTACTGATAGGCTTAACAGTTGCACAGTTAACTAAATGAGACGACAAAGTGAATGGTAGTTTGTTAAAATATACCTTGGTCAGAATAGAAAAGAGGTAAAGGAATATGGTTGAGGCTTATCCACGAAAGAATATATGAATTAGGAATATATTGATATATAAAATAGAAATATAAAAGAGTATATAAATATATAAAGAATAAACTACATTGATATATTTTTTTAATAAAACGTCTCATAAAATAAATCCTCAAGTTCACGAAAATTAGGTTAGGTTAGCATCATCCGACATCTCCTACTCATTGTGAACTACATGAATAGTACCACAAAACAACAAAAAAATACCAACATTCCTCCATGTGTGCATATAAAAACAAGGTCATATCTGCAAATGGGTTTAACATATCTCGCCCGCTCTGACTGCCACAGCTCATGTGGGCATATGGCTATTTACTGTTTACATAGGTTATTGCTTTTGATTGTCTGACACTACAGTTGTTTTCCGTTTATTTGCACATTATACAGCTTTGACTATACAGTTAAAACGATTTGAAACTAGCTTGATGTTAAATGAATGACTAATGATGGACTTATGGTGAACTTAGTAACGGATTTACAAACAGCTGGTGCCACTCAATCCTGATAAATACAATATGTGCTGCGATCCGGCTCTGGCAATCAGAGAGGAAAGGCCCCTGCTAAGTTGTCATTGTTACAGCTAATTAACCGCAAGTGCCTAAACAAGGTTTAAAGTCGGCAGAAAATGTAAATCTGCTCACTGCAGTAATGATTGGTTCTGTTTTTTTAAAATATACAGTAGGTACATTTCTTTCTTTCTTAAACCTTTCTTGATTTATTTCTGGTCCATTGAAGCATTTTTCTGTATCGGTTTTCTCTCTTTAAAAAAAAAAAAAAAATTCATGACAGTGTTGTTTTACTCAGGTTATTTTCCACTCAGGCTGAGTTGCATAAGTCCTTCTGCATGAACACAGGTGTTTATGTTCTGACGTTTGATGAGTGAATTGCCACATTGGAGCCAGTAGTGCAGTATTTTCTTCTCTGAAAAAGAGGAATACAACATAGATGTCATATAGTAATATTTTTGTGTTGTAGTTGCAGTAGTAAGTGCAGCTGTATTTGTAATAAGTTGTATTTTTTATGTATTGAGTCGGTTGTTCAGTGCAGTATCTTTCAACTTGCTGTTTGTGCCTTTATAAATGATTGTTGACTGTTTGAGGCTGTTGAAAGCTTCTGTAGTGTCTTAATAACTGTTGATGCTCTGACCAGCTTTGCGGGTGCATGTAATAAAAGAATTCTACAACCAAAAGTGCAGGTCTAAAGCTATTTTTTTTCCCCATACTGCTGGCAACAAGAAATACCTCAGGGATTGGTGTTTGGACCCCTACGTTCTGACTGTAGTTTCTCTACTAAAAACCCAGTGAGGCCACTGAAGCCAGGAAGGTGAGAACATCTATGTCCAAGTGCTTTAAGACAGATGCACGTTGTTTGCCTGCCTGCTAACTTGAGGCCTGTGTGCAATTAGTGAACACAGAAATTAGGATGATGTTGGCAAGATACCCCAGATGGAGGTAACTAACATGGTTAGGAAAACAGCCATTCCAGGCGGCAAAATTTTGTGCTTAGTTTTGGCGAGACTGAAAAAGAAAGTGATCCATTCCAGCTTCAATAAGCTTGCAATTTATGACACCTATCTGCTGTCTGAATGCCACTTTGTGCGACAGCTTGTTTTCCCTGAATCCCAGGGTCCAAAGTAGACACAGTTAAAAAAAAAAAGTATGTCATCTCCTAACATATTTTGCCTTCTTGAAGCCCCATGTCGTCCCACTCCCGCCTTCATGCTTCCGTGTTGGGACTATGCATTCATGGTGGTAGCCCTGGCCTGGCTCACACCAAACACGCTAACCATGAGCCAAACAAATTCACTCATCTGACAAATGTGCATCCAGGATTTATTAGGCTTTTTTTTTTTTTTTTTTTTTTTTTTTTGGAAATAACTGTTTCAGCAAAGTTTAATCTTTCAGTTTTTTGGCAAAAGCAACAAATATTTATTCTTACTCTACAAGTCCCCTGTAGAACATGATGGTATGAAGTGTCCTTTACACTGTCACAGAAACTCCAGTGTCCACTGATACCCCTGTGCTAAGTCCTAAGCACTTGCCCAACTGTTTTTCACAGCTAGATTTAGCGCATTGTTTAGGACGGCCACAGTGGCTCTGATTAGTTTTGCTTTGGTTCATTCTATACCTTCTGATTACTCCTGTAGCTATTTTCCACTGATTTGTAGTTGTTCACCAATCATCCTTTTCCATCTTTGTGAAGCCTGACAATCAGACGTTTCAGTTCCTCTGACAATTCTTTTCCACGTGGAGTCATGATGAACTATGCCCAGGCAATTAGGCTGAGCTGAAATCACAGATGTGCTCAGTTTTGTGTCAGTGATCACAGGAGTATTTATCTTTGTTGCATTAGGTTTCTACTTAGAGGCCTGAATTTTTTTTTTATTTTTTATTTTTGAAGAACGTGATTGTTTCTTCATAAGAGGAATCAGTGTGTTTAATTTAGAACTAATGCAGATATTTGGAGATGATAGAACTTAAATTGAATTTGGCTTGCTCTGAATCCACTGTGGTTTAGACTGTACCTCATTTGTGTGCTGCTTTGGACAACAGTGAATAAATGTACATTCAAACAGCAGATTCAGTAACACTCCACACTTTACACAAACTTTGTACATGCAGTCTTCCTGTCAGGAGGTGGGTTGATGTCAAGGTGACATTAGGTTGTATTTTTTTCATTACAAGTGTCATTATCAATAACTGCGACCATAATATGTTTCCTTCAATTTTGGAGAGAGTGCTGGTAATTAGGAAGACAAGACACCATTTATATCATCCTAATTGTCATGCAGTAAAACATGCCCAGCATGAGAGACAAAGATATAAAAAGGGTGAGTAAAAGGGGAATGAAGGGAGACAGGGCCAGAAAAACAGACTGCTGTGTAAGAAAAATGATACCTCATTTCTGCCCTGCTAATAACCATCTTCACCCCTGTTTTACAGATCAAACAAGACTCAAACCGTTCCTGACAGTGTGCAGCGCTTTGAGCAACGCACACACACACACAGATTCATGTACATGATATATTTTCAGGTTTGTTGTGATCTTACTTAGCATGACTACTGAATCCATCAACACAGAGACAAAAGGAAAGTCACCTTATGAATGTTTGAACCATGTGCTGTTGCTAAGCTACTATAGGACTTGTGAAAAATGTGTTATTTGAACTAATATGGCAACAATTCACTCATACTCCTATAAATAGAAAATTATACCATGGTATTGTCTGCAGTGTGAAGCTACAGTTCGTTGTTTCACTGATGGGAAGCCGCATCGGTATTTAAGATTCATGTTGGAAAACATTAAACTGCTCAGGTACCACAGAGAGAGACACAGGTCTGCTTTCAGAGCATCTGCACTGACAGCTACTCTCATACATTACAGCTACTTAAACTTCTGTGGCTGCAGAAGAGGCCGATGCTTTATTTAATCCAGGCCACAAGACTGCAGTGGCGTCGTTCTGCCTGGGCATCTGGGGCTATAACCATAAATGTTTTATGAATAGCCATGATGTTCACTTTTTTTCCCCCCTTCTTAGAAAACCACAACAACAACAACCAAACAAACTTTAACTGAGTGAGCTGCATCTCTTTAATTTTCTGATTTTGAAATGACCATCTAAAGAGTGATAAGGATGGAATACATCAGTATCAAAAGGGAAAGGCTTGGTTTTTTCAGGTTTACATAGAACCACACAAAAAGGACAAATAATAGTTTTTAAATCAGCTAAAAATGTAATTATTTTGAAGATATTATTTTGTGCAGAGGGCTGCAAGGTGGAATGGTGGTTAGCACC